TAAGCAAAAAAAGTACTTAAAAGCCCTGCAAGAAGAAGGGTAGCATTGCTTGATTGTCTCTTTCCCTGCTAGATGAAGGATTAATTTATAGAGCAAAAAGGATTGTGGCAGGCTGCAAAATCCCAGAAGGATGAATTTTTCTCATGGATATGTTTTGTGTGTGGTGTGTTGCTACACCTAGAGGCGCATTGTGAGGGTGAAATGACATCTTTTCCTGATGTTCTGTGTGCATTTTGCAGCCTTCATCAGTGTACAACATCGATTTCACTCTTGTCAGGACCCTAAAATCTCATGCAGTTGTCTCAAATATCTTTAAACTCCAAGCAGTTCATGCATGTAGCTTCATGTTCACTGCTAATGTGGTGAGATGTAAAGAGATGCTGCTAAAAGCACAGTTTTGTTCAGTTACTGTCCAGTTAGGGTGGGATGTGGACCCACCTTCTTACATGCAGTATGTTAAGGCTGGGGTATTGAGGATTAAATTGTTGTAGCTTTGTAATATCCAAGCTATTTTCTGTAAGAAGCTGGTCCTGTTTTGGGTGAAGTGGCTCACCCCTCTCCCTGCCCACAGTTCCAGAAGGAACGTTTCAACATTGACATGCCTCACCGCTTCAAAGTTTACAACTACATGAGCCCGACCTTCTGCGACCACTGCGGCAGCCTGCTCTGGGGGCTGGTCAAACAAGGACTCAAATGTGAAGGTATGGAGGCAGAGGGAAGGCAGCTGGGACCTCTTCCTGCTTTTCCAGTGTGGTCTCTCTCTCTGCTCCCCGCTAGCGATTAGCTATTGCTACACATGGTGTATTTGTATGTGTGTTAGAATGAGATTTATCTCATGCATGAGTTGTTTAAACACTATTTTACTAAAGAGAAAACTAGGCACTTGGCTCATGTAACAACTCAGCCAAGGCGAGCTTCTCATGCAGTCGGAAATCATGGTAGAAGTATCATCTTGCATATAATTGAAATTACTTCTGGAAATAGCTGAAATGTGGTGAGTCTGACTCAAGGTAGCACCTAGAAGTGTCTTTAAAGTGTCCACTGTAAATACCGTTTTTATAATTCTACCACAAAACCGCAAGATGATCTTTTCTTAAGATTTTGGTTAAGATGATCTTTTGAAAAGAGTTTGAGAAGAAAAAAAAAACACACAATTGCAACTTCTTCCTTTTGAACAGATTTTTGTAGCCTTCATTGGCTTAAAGACTAAAATTACAGCTTCATTAAGAACCATAAATCAGTGTCTAATCTGGGCTTGCTATAATGTTTATGAACTGCACAGCAAAACAGCCATTTTGTTGTAATGTTGGCCGGTATTTTCCTGATCCTTGTGTAACTGTACATTTCTTTTAGAATGTGGGATGAATGTGCATCATAAATGTCAAAAGAAGGTGGCAAATTTGTGTGGAATAAACCAGAAGTTGCTAGCTGAAGCTTTAAATCAAGTTAGCCAGGTATGCTTTATTGCTGTTTGTCATGCAGTTTGGTTCCAGAGCTTTTTATTTATACTTCACTTTCCCATGTCACTTTTATGGGGAATGGAAATTTGGGCCTGAGGCAATGGAAACAGCTTTCTCTTCTTATTTTGACCTATAAAGAAACTAACAAAGATGGCAATAGCCTAGAGGAGAAGCTGGGGGAAGAACATCCCACCTGACAAAGAATTTTTAAACAGAAGGTTTGTGTTTTCCTGAAATACAGCTTGGTTCTTTGACAGTGCCAAGGTTATTTTCTCCCCTTGTTTGATTGCATTCAAACAGTAGTAGCATAAAGCTGAAGTCTGTTTGCCCATGAAGCATGTTTACCCATGCTTCAACTTTAGAATTCCCTTTGAATGCTAAATTAAATAAGTAAAGAGAAATAGAGCAGAGAGCTCCCATTTTTATTAATCCAATATATATACACACAGAAGAATCCTCTGGAATTAACATGGGCCCCACAGTTTACATTGTTGGTCTCCTGCTGCAGCATCGCCATCTCTTGTGTACGGATTACTGTCAACTCTGACTTGTAAATAAAGATTCAGACACAAGCTCTGAAATTAAAACAGGAGAATATATCGCAAAAGCCAACAGTATTTCCTTTGAGCTGAGCATTCCTGAGCTTTCACAGGATATTTACTTTGAAAACAGCGAGAGCTGTTACACCAGCTTTTTCACGACACAAAAAAAACCTCGATCTGCTCATTACTAAAACTTGATCTTGGGGATCTTTCATACATAAAATTTGTTTGCATGTGCTCAAGAAGTATGTCACATGCTGCCTTCAGCGTGTTCAGAGTGACAGTGGTTCCCATCTTGTTTCAAAACCTTAATGCTAGTCCGAGGGGATGCTTTTCCACAGTGAATTCAAAGCAAGCAATTATTCTCACTGTGGATTCAAACTGTTATAACTTTCATAGTTTTTGAACAGACAATTACATAGACTGTTCAGGAATTTTAATATTTTCTTGCAGTGAAGGAAGTAAAGCAATTGGCTGAAGCTGTAAAAAGTGTGGCTAAATAGTCTGAACTACGTTTTGAGGAGAATTATGTACTAGGAGTTAATTATTTAAAAGAAATGATCATACTGCCATCTGCCATCATGTTGCATTTAACAGCTATTGTTGTAAATATTTCTAAAGTAATAGTGCAAATATAATTTCAAATGTTCCTTTCCTCCTCAGAAATCTACACGAAGGTCTGATTCTGGATCTGTAGAAAGTGTTGGTATTTACCAAGATTTTGATAAGAAACCTAAAGGAGGAGATACAACAGGTGAGAAAAATGGTTTTGTTTAGCTATTTGCCTACTGGACTGTACAAACTGTCACGTTTATTTATTCATTCTTGCCTTATGTTAGATAATATTTTTTGAACAAGATAATATTTTTTGAACAATATTTTTTTGTTAAAAAAATATATGCACATAATTCTTTTTACCTGGCCACACAAAATGCTTATATAGTTTTTGACAAACCCCAGTATTTTTTTAGTCCGTGAGCATACCCACTTTTATGCAAAATGCTCGCTTTATTCTTTGTGGCATGGTCCCCCATGGTGGGAGCGGAGGATGGCTCGCTAATCAGACTACAACACACCTCTCCCTTCTGTAACTGAAATGTCATGAATATTGTTAACTAACTCAATTTGTTCACAGAATGTTAGAAGCCTTTGTACAATACTACAAGTTTTAGGATTTAAGCCAAAAGACTAGTTGCAGTTAAACAGCTGAGGTACTTCAAGGGCCTGGAATAGAGAATAAGCTTCAGCTTCAGAATAAGGGTTTACTTTTTTGTGGTTGTTTTTGTTTGGTTTGGTTTTGGTTTTACATTGCTAAAAGAGTTCTAGCATTGTAAAAGTCTCACAAAGCTGAACCCAGCACTCAAGGTGCATCCTCACCGGAGCAGAGCACAGGGGGACGATCACCTCCCTGGTGTGCTGGCTGCACTACTCCTGACACAGCCAGGATGCCGTTGGCCTTCTTGGCCACCTGGGCACACTGCTGGCTCGTGTTCAGGCAAGCATTGACCAGCACCCTCAGATCCTTTTCCTCTGCACAGCTCTCCAGCCACTCTGCCCCCAGCCTGTAGCCCTGCATAGGGTTGTTGTGGCCAAAGTGCAGGACCCAGTATCATCTCATGATTGTCGTCAGAGTTGTCTTGGTGGCACAGGAGATCTGTGCAGAAGGGGTGGAAAAAAAAAAATAAAAACTGTTAATTTTACGATATAATCAAACCTAACCTGTATGTTCATGCTTCTTAGCCAGGATCAAGCATAAATCAGATCTTTTCATGGCCTCTCTGCTTAGAGGGACTCTTTTTCTATTAACAGAAGAAAATACAAGCCATCCTTGTGAAGTATTCTGTTCTCTAACCTATGCTGTGAATTTTAGCAATAGGGGAAATTTAGGACCCTTTATTTTTGTAATTCCTGCTTATGTGTTACTTAAAGCCAGCATCAGAAACAATCACAGATCCAAATGCAACGTTAAGAAATATGCTTCAGTAACTTAAACTTTATTGTAAACTACATGATTTGATCTGTATGTTTAGATTTGCCAGTATCCCAGCAGCAGATGAACTGAAATAGTATGTCAGTACTTAATTCCTAATAGAGAATCTGAGTCATGCAGTTTTTCTGCATATACTGAACTTTAAACTCCCTGTTTTAATAGGAGATAACAGCCAGTACGATAAACTCTGGGAGGGAAGCACAGCCAAGACAGCATCACGAATTGCAAGCAGGAGAAAATTCAACATAGACAGCTTTGTCTTCCATAAAGTATTAGGGAAAGGAAGTTTTGGAAAGGTATGTAACAAATTTACAGAGCTTAAGGTGACTGCCTTGCTTGATCTCTGAAATATTACGGGCTATTTTTGTTAACCAGAAACGTCTTACGGCCACTTGAGTAGATAATATTTTAAGAGAGCAAAATACAGCCATCTCTGTCAAAGACATTAGAAGTTCTTTACCCGCAGCTTGTCTGAACTCAGAAGTGTTTCATAATGTACAAGGGGTACAACCCAGTCAGAGAAATAGCCCTTTATCCAAAAGGGCAGTTATGTTCACATGCTGTCTACCGAAACGGCCTCGTAATGCTCCAGTGCAATGGCAGGGGAAATGTGGGGCAGCAGCGTGACCTTCCACTCCCATCTGCCTCCGCTCCTTGTGCTCCGTGCTTACTCTGTGCTTGTCCAAGGGTGATGTGACCTCCACAGACTCTGTCCTCTGTTGTCTGTGAAACTCCAGCTGTAATGAAGGAACAGACTTTACACGTCCTCTGTTCTTACTCTCACAAGTCATTGACAGAAAAACCGCCCTGGAAGCTGCTGTGCGTGTGTGTTACAAGGTCCTTGTACCCTGTCTCCTCACATCTGCACCCAGCAGCTTCACCTTGCCAATCTCACCATTTGCATAGCTGCCACAATTACTAAAAAAAATGAACTGCTATAAACACCTTTGACTTCTCCTTACTGATACCATCAGTAACAGGTTTTGCTAAACATGCTGTAATCTCATCTTTTTTTTTTTGTAGGTTCTGCTTGCTGAGCTGAAAGGGAAGAACGAATTCTTTGCTATCAAAGCTCTGAAAAAAGATGTGGTACTAATTGATGATGATGTGGAATGTACCATGGTGGAAAAGCGGGTTTTAGCACTTGCATGGGAAAATCCATTTCTCACGCACCTTTACTGCACGTTCCAGACAAAGGTAAGGGGAAGGGGAAAAAAAAAAAAAAAGAAGGCGAGGGCAGCACAACAGATGTTGCCTTTTAATGGATGCTATTACCAACAGTCAAGTGAAAATAACTTTAGTGATACAAGAGTTAAATCTCCCCTTCTTGTGTTCTGTGTAATAGTTCACAAGCCTGGTGGAAAGTAAATAGAAGTGCGATACCCAGATATGCTGAAGAGATCAGAATGAGATCAGAGTAACGTCTACATGATCTGGAGTAAGAGACAGATTAATTTAAAACCTTGATCCTAGCTTTATCCTCATTGAAGGGAACAAAGATGACTGTCACAGGTAGAAGTCAGGAAATACATTTGAACGTATATTTATATTAAATCTAGAAGCCCACAGAATACGAGGTGAGCTCCTTAGCCTTGCAAGACCATGCTACTCAACCCTGCAGCAGCCTCGTGCATTCTTAGGGGTGCACGAAACAGAAATAGGACAGCAGGGAAGTGGCTGCTGGGTCCCCACTGCCAGATTGCTACTCGAGGTGCGGTTGTGATAGCATCAATAATGTTTCCATCCTCTGATTATTTGCAAACAGGATCATCTGTTCTTCGTTATGGAGTTCCTGAATGGGGGAGACCTGATGTTCCACATACAAGACAAAGGGCGTTTTGATCTCTACAGAGCAACGTAAGTCTACAGCACTTCAGTCCCTATCCCCGTGAATTGTTATAATCTTCGTGGTTTTACTACTTCTAGTTCTGCACCACTTAGCTGTTAGTCTTTCACTCATGTTTCAGTGTCTGATGGTTGAAAAAAACGTGTTTTATAGGCATTAGTTTGATACAGTGTAGCTCACTTAATGACGTATTGAGTTAGGTTTCCTTCATTTGCATAGCAGTGTGATGTTTTGCTTGAAAGGATACACCTGTATGTGGAGATGCTAGGTAAACCTCAACATAAGCCAGCAATGAAAACACACAGTCTTAAAGCACACTAAAGCTGTACTGTCATGGAATAATTAATTTCCTAAGAAAACAGCACTGGGGAACAGGGGGAACCTAGTAAATAATACATCACTATTACTGATAAGTTGACATAATAGTACAGGAAGATAAGCTGCACTTTCCACAAGATACTAATTAAAATGGGAAAGCACTTCATTTAACAAGTGTCATTTTGTCCGTTACCTATGGCTTGAAGGTAACTGAAGCTGAAGACTTACAATTATATGATGGTTTTGCATCTTTTAACTGTAACTTTTGGTTTTAGAACAATTTGAATGGGTTCATGAAAGACCTTAAAAGTAATGCAGGGTGGAGTAACAGATCTGCCCAAAAGCACCAGCATAACCGACTAGAAAACAGCTTGCATTACTGTGCTAACTAGGAAATACAGATCAGATTGGATTGGATCAAGAGGACCAGCATAAAAAGCAGCCTGCAGTAGCCAGCCTCGTGGGTCAGAGCTAGCTCTGTTCTGACTCTCCCCAGCAGAAATCTGGACAAAGTCCCCCAACTTACTTGTGTTTCAGCAAACTTCTAGCAGCTTCTCCTGGAATTTTCCTTACATATTTCTCAAGTTTTGGGTCAACATTCATTCTGCAATACAGAAGTGGGAATCACTTTTTTTTTTTTTTTTAACAATTACAAAGTTTACATTCCAGGAGCAGGAGAAAGCATTCCTTAAGAGTTTTTCCTCACGTTCTGTGGATTAACGCCACCTTTTTGAGGAGAAACAGCAATGCTTTCTGTCTGCTGCAATTGGGTGGCTATATGAGCGTAGGTAGTTGAGGTCCATTTCAAATTTAACCACTAATGTGCCATCCCTCCTAAAGCCACCCCATGAGTGCTGACTTCCCAGCAGCTATCTTTCCACAGGCATATACATCTCTCTCTCCTAAAACTGAAAGAGAAGAAAAGGGAGAGTGTTCCCCAATGGAAGGGGAATGAAGCATTAAAGCAAGCTGGTGTCCCCTTTACTGTTTGGCGTTAGATACCACAGATGCATGGTGAAAATTAACTTGCAGATTATAGCATCCATCCGCATAAATACAGGTGTAATATTAGACATGGGATTTCTCTTTCGTAGTGTTTAAAGAACTGTACAGTGACTTTCACTGCATGAAGTTTATGGCAGCTCTTTTGGCCAGCTGCTTTGTCTGATGTTTTAACTGAGCAAGACAGAGTAAAAGATGTTTTGATCTTTTCAGGTTTTATGGAGCTGAAATTGTGTGTGGGCTACAGTTTCTTCACAGCAAAGGCATTATTTATAGGTGAGTACCAGCTAGCACCGGCGTGGGACCTATGAATTGTCTTAGCACTTCATGCATGCTTGAGTTACTGATTGATGTAACGAGTAAAAGCTGTCTGTCAGAGTTCTGATGTTATTCCAAGGGCATTAACATGCCTGAGATGAATCTGTATCTTTGTGTCTTTTCCTTGGCAACCAGAATGATGGAATGTTATTTACATTACACAGAAGCAGTTTTGTCTGTTATTTTTAAACACTCCCTTCACATCACAAGTCGTTCGAGTTTGGTGGCAATGGTGAGTGTCCTTGAGGGCCTCAATTCCTACCAGTCTTGGAAAACCACTGAGGTGGAAGTCTTCTGCTTTTACTTTCTGTGTCAAAGCAGAGAGTTGATGCTTCTGCCTCACCAGATTCTTAAACAGCAAGGAGCAGATCCTGACCAACTGTTTCTTAATGTAAATATCCACATTACAGGAGGTCAGAATTTTTTGTTTTGTTTTTAAGATGTGTTTTTTCATCTTAATTTCTATTCTCCAGCCTTTTCACCCCATCCCAGCTCTAAAACCCTGTTTGGTAACTACTTGCACAGGTAGCTCTTACCTCTAACAAACAGGTTTGAAGGATAACAGGTGCGTGCTTGAGAGCAAATGCTGCATGGCCTTAGGTAAAGGTGCCCCACGATGTCCACTATTGTCCGCCTCCCTTTATAAAAACAGGAAATGTCTGGTGGAGCACCGCCCTGTGAAGCAGTTTTCTGAAGTTAGACTTGTATTTCACCAAAAAAAGTGTTTGTAAGGAGGATCAATGTTACCAGAAAACTTGTTGATGAAGAAAGGTGATTGACCAGGACGTGCTGTTATCCACAGGAAGTCTTTCCATCCCAAGTTTTCTATGTATTTTTAGGCTTGCTGTTAAATTCCCCTGTGTTAAATTAGTGCTTCTAGAGTGAAATTTCACAGTATGAAATATTTTCAGACAAACTGGTACTGTTTATCAACAGGACATCAGCAAAACCAAAGGTACTTTTTTCCCTCTTGCACAGGAAGTTTACCGGTATAGTTACTGACCCCGAAGGTAGTGGTTTTGGGTAGGTCTCACAATGCAACACCTTCACACCCATACAAAAGATTTTAGAAGTTGCAGCTAGGTGAGTGCAGTGCCCTACATACAATGAGCTTTTCTTGTCTCAGAAATATATTTTTACTCAAGGTGAACAGCAGCTGACGTCCAAACCCAGGGTTTGTAGCACACTGCGTTAGAGTAGGGGCTCTTGGTTCAAGCTGCAGCTCATCTTTTTGGCAGCGTAAGTAGCTGATATTGTAAGCTCAAGTTAAAGAGAAAAGAGTGCCCTGTTCTTATGTAAAATCTGCCCTATTCAAGGCTTTCTTGGTAAGCAGAAGGGCTGTTCAGTTTCCCTTCAGCCTGCCCTCCTCGGTATGTGCTTTTGCAGCCAGATGGACAAAAAACACTTTGCAGTCAAAGGGAGGGAATGTAGCTTTTGGAAACTGCTGTTAAAAAGCGCTTATTTGATTGAAGATTGTTATTCTGTAAAAAGGCATGAATAGGCACTTCACAGACTGTGGCCACAGCACATGAACCCCCTTGTGCTGTAACTAGGAGCAAGTCACAGGTAAAATTAAAATTAAAATTGGGCAAGCTTTGAATATTCATGCCCCAAGAATCCAACAATCCTTCTTTTAAGCTACACAGTCCGGTATAGTGCTGCTATGTTAGCTGGTGAGGCGTTCACTCACACCTCCGTCCAGAGGCAACAGAAGCACTGGGTGTGACTTTGGATGTAAAAGCAGATGACAAAGATTATATGGGCACGCTACATATACACCTCAGCCACTTTCTTATGCTTACAAGAAATAATTCTTCTTTTCTCCTTACCATCTTCCAAGTACCAAAGTACAATTTTGCAGGTATTATGTTGATAGATAATTATTTCCTTGAAATCTGTGAAGAAACTGCATGCATCTGAATACAACAATGACATACTTGTCCTTAAAAGATGCCTCTTTTTTAATATACCTTTTGCAGAGACCTAAAACTGGACAACGTGATGCTCGATAAAGAAGGCCATATCAAAATAGCTGATTTTGGAATGTGCAAAGAAAATGTAGTTGGTGAGAACAAGGCAAGCACGTTCTGTGGGACCCCAGACTACATTGCTCCTGAGGTCAGTACATCACTGCAACATACTGCGTGGCTCGACTTAATAGAGTGATGTTAGAATGGCCATTGTGATCTTTCTTCCCTTTAGAGAATAACAGTTCCAAAACAATAATAACAACAAGCATAGAAAAAAATTAGATGCCTTCTTCTGTAGAGGGTTCTTAAGATAGAATATTTACAAGTATCTACAATGTTTTAATAGGTTTTGAAATGTTAAAAATTTCAGTTGTTGAAAAACTAGTTTTCTCTTCTGCTTTTACAGCTAGCATACATGCAGGACTCCTGCAAAATGAGCATGTGCACTGCAGATGATAAAACAGCCAGAATTCAAAGGAGAATCTTAGAGTTAAATTCATTGTGTTCAGAGTTGGCTTTTTATCTGATTTGCATAGTAGTCAAATAAGATAGTTAGCTTTTAAAGCTATAAATGTCAAAGTCTGTTGGTTAATAATCTGCTTTCATTGCCACACGTTCCTCCCTTCCCCTACTTTATTATCTTGTAATGAAACTAGAGCAGATGTTTTCCAACTACATGGTATTTAAAGTCAATGGAGGAAATTTCAGAATGAGAGCAAAGATCTGTCCACTGAGCTGTCCACATTTCCACAAACAGCAGCTGAGCAGAAAACTACAGCTGTACTTCAATGTCAACAATCCTCTCAGACTGCTGCATTTTTTCCCCTAGATATGATAGTTATTAAAGATTCCCTCTTAAATTCACTGATCTGTTTTTTTGTATGTGCTTCTGTCTTTTACTAATTACCCGTATTTCTTCCCCTGCCCCTCTTCTGTGGAACAAGATTCTGCAAGGCTTGAGGTACACATTCTCTGTGGACTGGTGGTCATTTGGGGTCCTGCTGTACGAGATGCTTATTGGACAATCCCCTTTCCATGGGGACGATGAAGATGAGTTGTTCGAGTCAATCCGAGTGGACACACCTCACTACCCACGCTGGATTACCAAGGAATCAAAAGATATACTAGAAAAGGTAAGGCTGAAGATTGATGAGTGGGTCAAGGTCCAGTATTTCTTCGAGGGAGGGACAAATCTAGGCTTGTAAAAGGAGCTGTTTATCCATGTTAGCAGATTACTTTTACAAATGGAAAGCCAGGTAAACTTAATACTAATGTCTGTATACTGTTAGCAACTTCTGTTTGTTCAGGAGTATACCAATTATTTCTTCCATTGCCACCTACCTTTTGAGCGGATGTAAGGCCTTGTTGGCTATCTTGTCTTGCAGCTATTTGAAAGAGATCCAACAAGACGACTCGGGATCACTGGGAATATCCGAGACCATCCTTTTTTCAAAACCATCAACTGGGCAGCGTTAGAGAAGAGGGAGGTAGACCCTCCTTTCAAGCCAAAAGTGGTACGTGGATTATTCTGTGTTTCTGTAATATGCTACACATGTCTGTTGGTCACCAACTTAGGGGTGATGGGTGAATCCTCCAAACATCCTTATGGTAGTTTATTCTGAAACCTGAAATCTTTTCTACCCTAAAATCTTCCTATTAAGACCATCTTCCTATACAGCTTTAAGGAACCTCTTCACTACTGTTGTCTTCAGGAAAATAATGAATAGTGCTGCTATCCATCCTTTTCAAATCAATGGAGGAATGCAATGTTTTGTATGCATTGATGTTAGCACTGTTGATAGCACTGTTAGCGCTTACTGATAGTTAACTTTAACTAGACCAGCTCAGAAAAAGATGCTTTCTCCATATTGGTGAACTTACAGCTACTTTGAATGCAAATCCCTAGTGTTACCTGAAAAAGTGTGTAAAGAACAAGCTATGCATTGCTTGATCTGTGTCACCCCAGGCTTCCACTGCTTCATCACAAGCCATTAAAAATTCAAATGAGTTTTCCTCCACCCCAGTACCAGAATGGATAGAACAATCTGGAAGTAAAGTACATTTTAAAGAATGCTTACATACTTGATGCAGGGAGAGGTGTTCCATTTGAGAACAGGAGGCTTCATGTTGCATTTCCCCATACAGATGGACTCTGGAAGTTTAAGAATCCTGCAAACCATAAGCTTTGAAGGTTCAGAATGTAGAACATAGTCTTAAATAATATGAATTCTTAGGAAATATGCATAAATATTAGTTTTATCTAGACACAAAGCAGCTGCAATAGCTGAACAAATGCAGACTTTAAAATGCTTCAGAAATTAAAAAAAAAAAGTTGTTAATGGCAGGGAATGTTGGGTTTAAACGTAGATGCATTGATTTTTGTCAAGATAGAATATTTGGCTAATTCATTGCAATGTTATCACATATTCAGGTGGCTCTTTTCCAAAGCAACCCAGTGCTGTTTGTTTTCAACCAACAAGTAGTAATTTCCCGGTTGTAATGTTATATTATTATTTAAAATAGGCAAGGGGATTTTTTTTCAACATGGTTTGAAAAATAATTTGCTAAGCTTTCATATTTAGCAATCTTTTCTGGAAAAAAAAAAAAAAAGTTTGCAACTATGTCTCACACTATCTTCCCTCTCTGTTTAACACAGAAGTCAGCAAGTGACTACAACAACTTCGACAGAGAATTTCTAAATGAAAAGCCAAGATTATCTTACAGCGACAAAAACCTGATCGAGTCTATGGATCAGTCTGCATTTGATGGATTTTCTTTTATCAACCCTAAATTTGAACAGATCTTAGAAAAATGATCTCTGAACAGTCGGACTTTAAAGCAGGGTTAAACATTAAGAACAGAAAACTCCAAGTGCTAAGTGTTACCGTTCCAACGATGTTGTCAATACTTCAGAATAATAACACAATAGTGTGATTAATTATGTCTAGCTGCTGATTTATTGGCAGTGTTCTTTTATGCATGGTTGGGTTTAAGGTATGTGAATCATGTGCATTATTTTCTCTATTTGGGAAAATGTAAATTGTTTGGTTACTTGAATGTAGTTATATTATATATATATATGCTGTATATTTTGCTCGGAGGAAGACATTGGGGAACATAATATGTCTTTTTAAAAGTGTTTTGAGCCCTTGGTTCTTTTATTTGTCTTCAATTAAAAGAAAGTTATGTTAAACTTTCATTCCTGGCTATGATTTTTTTTTTTTCCCCTAGAAATATTCAGTTAAACTCCAGTTCATTTAATCTACAGTAAAAAATAATAATTTGCAAGCCCTCTTCACTTACAAAGATAGTACAAATATTTTAGGAGAACTAGTGGAAATGAAGAATTAAGGAAACGCAAAGATTCATAGAACAGTCTGGAAGCTTGAGATGCTTAATTGTTAGTGGCAAGGGGGAAGTGCCACTCTTATGCTGGAGTCTCTTACCCAAAGCAGCCAGTGCCACTCCTATGGCTAATATCCTTGACTATTGCAGTTAATAAAAACCTCAAGCCTTTAGCTTTACAAGTCTGGGAAAAAATTAGAAACAAATTTTTTTTCCCCTCCACCAAAAGGGCTTTTAAAAAAATTGATGACAGAGTGAGTAACTCCAGTCAACTTTGACCTCTGCAGGTCTCCAGCTGCAGTGTAGCTGGGAAGTATTCTAGAGCTCCTCTCCTTTCCTCTGTGTGCCAGGCTTTGGTGGTCATTTTAAACACTTACTCTGAGGAAGGAGAAGCATTAGACAGCTTGGTCTAAGTATCCAGCAGCAGCATACCACCAGAAAATATGACTTCCACTGTTAAAAGTCCAGTTCTACAGCGGGATCTCGGTTGAGGTGTTTTTCCTCCAAGTAGTAGCTGCTGTATGCTTTGCCAGCAGCAGCACCTTGATTACACCATCTGAATGGGGGCACTGACCTGCTACAGGAGCCTGCTCAGGTTGGAGCGACCAGAAATGAAAGCACCGCAGGCTGTACAGCTGCACGGCCTCTGGACTGCCTCTGCTGAACGGCTGTGCCCGAGGGCCACCTGGTGGGCAGCAGACAGAGAGATTAGTTCATGCATCTCAGTCCAGGAGAGTCCTCACACTACACCGAGAAATTAATAACATACTGAAAATTAAAGTTGTTTGTTGTTTTTGTTTTGTTTTGGTCCAGAAAGCAGCCTGAATGCGTTAAAACAAACAACAAAGCCTCCCACACAAGCATACAATGTACAGTTAAAGAAAACACTAACATATTAAAAAACACCATAGCAGAGAAAATACAATGTGAATACCACGCAGAAGTACAGTGATCAACAACACGCAACAATTTGAGGATGTAACGCTAAACTACAAACTGTTAATTTTGTCCTTATCTTTCAGAATGAGAAGTGCCCCTGCAAATTACAGGCCATGTAACCTATACATGCAAATACATACCAGGAAGCAGCGTTTTGCTGTTGATTTTCAGCCTCCTGAAAAATACCAGCAGCATCTGGAAGACTATGTCAGAACAGTGTAACTTTAAGCGTATGAGTCAGATCTTAAAATACCAGTCACAAGGAGAAGCTAATAATCTTCTTACCTTTCTGCTCCACCGCGTGGACAAATCTTGATGTGCTTTTATTTAATGCATTCTTCCAACTTTTCCCTCAGTTACTGAGTTTGTTACTCGGATAAAATAACTGTAATTTAAGTAAAGTTAGTTATTCTACCAGCTGCTTAATTCTTCTGTTTATGTATAAGCTGTTTTAAACAAGCTACAATTCCTGCAGGTCAGAAAGCTGGGGAAACCAGCTGACCTGGAGGAACCCTCACCTGGCACTTCAGCTGCTGTACCAGACACAGAAAGAAACACAGCAGTGCAAGGTGTAGCATTTGATCTTTATTACTTGGATCAAATGTCAAATGATTACATTTGTCTGAAAGATTACAACGAAGGCCAATGCTGTAAGAAAAGATAGTTTAACCCCATTCTAAAGACTGCATCTGAGCCAGCAAGTGTACTAACAGTCAAAAGGTAGTAAAATACACGTGGGTATAAATATGCAAAGCCAGGACAAGGATTTTTACCTCCCCTATCGGTGACAGATCAGTCAATATTGCATGGTCAGGAACAGGAAGGGAGGACAGACGCAGCTTTTAGACAGGGACGATGATCTGCCATTCATAACAGTGCCTCCCCAGAAAGGTAGTTAGGCATTGGGGAGAACTGCTTCAAATTTACATTCATTGTCTACATTTGCTCTTACCAGCTAGAAAGGGTCAGATGCAGTCAATGGTTTAAGTACCTTCCTAAAGTAGAACAGACAACTTCATGTTTTTTTCTCTTCAAGTATCAGCATAACAGTTTATTTACACTTGTATACAACTCTTTTTACTGAACACCCACTTAGTAAAACATTCATCACAGTATATTCAAAAGCAGGCTATAAAAATACCTACTATACATAAAACATTTAGCCTCAGGGAATTTTACAGCACCTCTGAAAGTTTAGAGGTAAAACAAAGAAAAGGAGAAAGGGGAGACACCTCCAGCTGTGCTTGCCAGTGCAGAAGGGCAGCCTTTTGGCTCCCCTCTCACTAGGGGAAACCTTTCCTTCCACATTTCTTCAACCGGGTTCAAGTATCACACCCTGATAGTAAAACCCTGCTTTTCTGATACAGTATCCCGGATCTGTTGCCTGTAACTCAGAAGAAACCCTGACTCTTTCAATTTAAAGTTGTCAGACAACTCCTGGTCATGGCTGGATGGCAGAGCTTCGGAGGAGCGAGGGCTGCCTGGAGCACTGCCCCGCTTCCCACGCGAAGCACGCACGGTATCAGAGGGGGGGGATGTTATTCCTACACTTTTGCCACAAAGGTGGCCTTGTTTACTACGCATCAATAAATTAACTACTCTGAGTAGCGCTGTGTGGTCTCTCTCCTCAGATAAGAGCTATGAACACAGCGGAATTAACAAAGATCTGAAATGCGCGTTACTGAACTAACGGATCACACACACAAAGCTCTAGACAGCAGCACTTGAAGCAAGTGTTTCTGGTCATTTCACGCCCTACCCATTCCTCTTCTGAAATGGAACCCAGCGATGTGATATGGCTTACTTCCAGAGCTGAACATATTGCTGAAATTAGCTTATTAAAACAAATCACAACAGCAGCACATTATCTTATAAACCCTGCACAAACAGAAGACAACGTAGCCCTTGCCTGCAAAACTACGAGGGCCCATTATTTCACACAGGAACTGAGCAAACAAACATAAAAGTTTCTTAAAAAAAAAATCAACAATGTACATGGTAAAAGTTCAATCAGTTGAAGAAAAGTCCTTAAATCAAAAAAAAAAAAAAAAAAAAAGCACGGTCTATCTACAAAAAGATAGTTCTCACTTCAAGAACTAAGAGCCAGCAACAGTGTTGGCAGCTCACTTCAGTTGTCTGGTAACACATACAAAATACATTGATTTAGTACAGTTAGAGGGTCGTAGCCTCAACAGACATACAAAATTCCATTTTTAGCACTGGAGTTTCACAGAGAAATATAAAAGAGCAGCAAAGAATTTATATAGTGGAAGGTTGCTTAAAAACAATTAAAAAAAAGGTAGGTGCACTTTGTTAAAAAACAATTTCAGAATTTACCTGCAGTTTTTCTTGCATGAGCTGTAAGAAAGGTTAAATGCCACCTAACCTTTCTGTACTGTTTCCTGATATACATGTTAGATGTGGCTATAAGGAGAATCATACATGTTGAAATTCATTCCAAAAACTGCCAAAAAGTCATAGCACTAGTAAGAAAAGCAGCTTCTCCAGCCTTGGCAATCTGAATCCTTCTTCCCTACCTCCCAGTCTCAGAAAGCTGCTCCTCCTGTGGCCACAGCAGAAGGGGCATTTCTCTTTCTAGTTTCACCACCTGAGGCTGCTCTCCTGTACTCACACCTGCATCCCACAGCCATTACTTAATAGTGTCCTCCACTGTGATCTAAATACATCTGGCTCCTGGAAACATTGAAATCTTGCTAGCACCGCAGAAAGGGGCAAGTCTCCCCATCCCATATAAATTTAAGTTGAGGTTGGCAAACCAAAGATCACTGTAAGACGTGACTGATGAGCTTTCCAATTTAAAGTAGTTTTGCAACGTGAATCCTCCAATGCTCAAAATGCAGAATTTCTCCTGTTAAATACGCCATCAAAAAAAAATCTTCATGTAATGCTAGGCAACCATTCACAGTAAAAATAAGAGGAACTCTTACAAAAACATTAAAGAAAGTAAAATCTAGTTAAAATCTGACAGTAAAATTGACACGGGCAATTAGCCATCTTGCAGTATTCCACAGATGAACAATAAAAGCTACTGAAACTGCGCAAATTTACATATGAAAACCTAAAACCAACATTACTCTGCTTCTATAAATCTTTTTTTTACCAATACCTTTCGGCACTGGGAGTTAACCAGAACTACAGGTTTCCTCCAAAGAAGCTGAATCACATTCGAAATGTCTTAAAGTGAAGGGGAGGCGCATTTGTTCCAACTTGCTCAGCGTTCAGCACGCCGTCTCCGCTCTCAGGGACCCGAGCTGCTACTTAACGCTGTCGTGGTGGAGGAAGGGCTGCTGCCACCAGGAACTGCAGCTATAGATGGTTAGGTACTGTCCTCAGAGCTTCTTCTCTCGATCGGTCCACGCCTACATTCTGCAAATTTAAAGACAAAAAGGACTTTAAAGCACGAGTCTCGTGATCAGACACAGCTTGGCTCAACACACAACTATTACACAAAACAAAAATTAAGCAAGTTTTGATGCTTATTTCCTCAACGTCTCTTGTAAAACAAAACAAAAGGTCCCAGCACAGACTAGAAATCAGAAGCCAGGCTCTGACTTCGTCCCAGCCTCCACGTGCTTCGTTGAGACACAACACAGGCTCTCTCAAATAGCATCTCTAAGACACATATCACACCAGGTCTCTCCACACTATATGGAGACCACACTGTTACATTTAAAAAAATAAGTTATAAGCACAGTTTTTAATCATTTTTTCTAATCACTTCTAGCCTTTCAGACACGCATACAATGTAAGAGAAAAACTAAACCACACAGCAAAAGTCATAAACCAGACAAAAACTGACAAAATCTGGAGGGAGGGAAAGCCACCTCTCCTTTGTGTCAAGCATGCTTCAAGGAACGACTCAACATCGACAGCCAGAAAGCTGTTCTGGTCCTGTCTGTAAGGAGCTATCTCACTGGGAACCCTGAGTAACTCCCTAAAGAGCTGGTAACATAAAGTTTAAATGCACTTTGGGACATGTGGGCAGATTAGCATGTTTCCCTGACATCAGGTAACGTTCCAGTGGTTTTATAACCACATTGAGTAGAGCTGACTTTCAAAACAAGTCTCTCTAGTCCAGCTCGAGAAGAAGAGCCTCATGCAGAGAGGGGGACTCGGTACCGCTCCCAGCCTGCAGCCACACAACTGCATCCCTCAAAACTACCCCACGAAAAGCAAACCACTCCCCTCTCCAACCCAGGTTCTAGGATTTTCAGCCATTCCATAACTAAACAAGATAAACGAGTAGTACCTGATTTGATTCGGGGCTAAAGTGTGCCAACGTCATTTCTGCCCTCGCTGATTCTCCTGTATTAACGTCAGCCCTTTCCTCTCTGCCCTTGGTAAATCAGCCCATCTTCCACCATAAGCACACCACATAAAACTGCCTGGGCACACACAAACGCTGCCTGCCCCACTCTCCAACTGCTCTCTCCGAGGAAAGCAAACAATGCTCCTGTTTCAGAAAGACGCTTCCACAGGCAGCATTCCTTCTAGAGCAAAGGATACAGAGACAGCATTGGCATCTAGGAACAAGAGGAGCTGGCAGAACAAGTCACACTCTGCATGACCACAATGGAAAAAAAAAAAAAAACACCACTGTGTTGGCATTTGTTTTATTTGTTCATATTTTCTTAGTAACTGATGCAACATACCCAGAAATTCCTTGAGACTGTGGAGATGTCTCCACAGGCAATCTGAGAACATTGGCTAACATCTTTTAAGCTGAGCATCTGCTGTTGATTCAAAGAAAATTAAATGGAGCATGAAATGGAGCAACATGCAGGAATCCAGAGGTACTGGAAATTAAGGCCACAAGCAACAAGAACTAGACAGCTACAACACAAAACTAAGAGGAAACAACGTGGTCAAGGCAAAAGATTCCTCTCATCGAGTTAAATAAGGTGTGTCAGACAAAAGAAGCATCCTAGCGGCTGGGACAGCCACAAGAGGGAACACAGATATGCAGTTAAAGCTGGAACAAGACGTCCTCCAGAGTGTAGGCGAAAAGGGAAAGGCTGTGGAAGCAAAGCAGAGCGTTTTGTTTCTTCCACCACGTGGAAGAAACAAAACTTGTGTAGGACAAAGCCTAATAAATAAACCCCGGGGCTTATTAGACAAAGAAGGACCTAGCTCGAGACCAGATCAAGTGAGACTTCAAAAGGGACCACCATCCCCTTGAATGGGAGGTGGATTCCTACCCACAGCAATCACGTTAGGTTTAATTACGGCAGCTGGGACTGTGCTCCCACGTGGACTGAGAGAGACGAGCGTGCTTACAGAGGACACAGAGGTTTTAGCCTTACTTTTAGGACCAAAAGGTGTCCCCACAGCCATCCAGCAGCACCTTACCCAAACACACTTGGACAAAATTACAGTTCTGGAGCAGCACCACTGCTGCTGCGTACTGGGGAGCGCAGGAAATGCAGCAGGGGGAATCCAAACGACAGGCACCTGGCTTCGAATGCTACTTCTACCAAGGCGTAATGGGGTCTCGCAGACTTGGAACATGACATCAGGTCAGCCAGCACCATCAGGCACATTTCTTTTAAGATTCAGAAAGGCCAAGGTTTCTTAGACCACGAAAATATCCATAAAGAAGATAAAAAGCTCAAATTGGCTGGGTGAGACACCAGAAGGTGCACCTCACCGGGTCCTCTCTGGAAAGGCTCAACACAAACACATCAACTCAAACACACTCCGACACCACTGCTTCTCCTCTCCTCATCATACTCTCCCTTGTTTTGTGCTTTTTTTCCCCTACAGAACAAAGCATCCCCCAGAAACAAAGTGCTACAGATTAAAATGGCAGGCTGTCCTGTCTGCAAGTTTCATTCTGATTTGCTACATGCAATCCTCACAACAAAGCCAGAAGATTTTGCAATAAAGGGCTCCTCCAGGGAAGAGGGTTCTGAACCGCACGGGAGTCACGAGGAAAGCCAAAACAGATGAAGTTAATAAGGACCATCCCCAGATGAAGAACAAGCATAAAGAGGACCATGCAAAGAAGTGCTCTTATCAGCCAGGTTCCTCCTGGTGAGCTACAGAGAACTCACTGTCCCTTCCCATTCAGCATTAGGCCTTTCTTTTACTAAGAAAATAATTTAGGGAGGACTACTAAGCAATGCTGCCATAATAGGAGACCCCTCAGAGGGCAAAACTGCTTTTAAACCCCATGTTACTCCATTATACACATCTGCAAGAGGTTTTTTTGTTTTGTTTGGTGTGGATTTTGTTTTAACCCAAAATTGAACGTGTTTAGCTTAAAATTGCACAGTATGTCCTTAGTCACAAACCACGGAGGTGAAAGCAATCCAAGCCAGCTCTGAGTGGTTTGCCAGCACCTGTGGAACGTGTCCCTGTGACCTCTCAGGGATGTCACCTCAACAGGCAGAAAGAAGCAATCGGGCTCCCTAATTAACTGTGCTAGCAGGTACAGCAGCCTCAGGTCTCCTTCTCCATGGCATATCCAAGAGGCTGCAGCAATTAAACACAGAAAAGCGACAAGAACTCCTACATCATAATCACAACAAAGAGAATTCCCATTCCCCCAGGCCAAGCCCATGCTGCTTTAACTAAATATCAACTGGTACAGCAGGAGGCCCTCCGTCCAGGGGCTCTTTAGTTATATTAGACATTCCTGAATGCTAGAAACCTCAGAAAATTGCAGTGTAACTTCAGAAGTGCAAATGCGTAACACTTTTTTCCAAAACCCCAGTCCTGGAAAAACATACCGTATGAGAAACCTCCCCAGCAGATAAAAGCGTTCCACAACATGCCACTCTTGCTTATGCTCAAGACACAAAGACCCCCCTCAGAAAACAGCTCAAGGACTCGGTGATTTACCGCCTTTCCCCAGCCTCAATGCTACATAAACAAAGCTGCTTCGATTGCACAATGCCTCAGCCCATCTCATTTTGCCCACCGTAACATCGCAGAGAAGGGAGCCAAGGCATGACACCACATCGCAAACAAGCTGCGGTCCCTCCAGCATGGGAGAAGTTTTGTTGTAATTCTGTTTAGGATGCATACCCTGCTGTTTTGAGATCATGCGCCTGCTGGAGGGTGGAAAAACCTCCTGTTTCCATGCCTTTCAAGGCAAGTCACAACCTAGCGAGCAAATAATCTGCCTAACGCTGCTTCTGCTTTGTGAAACAGTCAATGCTTCTTACTGCACCCTGGGTAAAATTCAGCACTATCAGATCCAGTACTGGTTGCACCGAGGCACTCATCCACTCCTTGCATTTCAGCAGAACAAAAACCACCTACTTTTTCTTAGTTCCTCACTGAAAGGAAATTTAAAATTACTTCTGCCAGCAGGCAAGCTCTGAAGCCCAGTTAATGCAGAACAGCTGTTAAGGGAAGTCATTCGTATATTAAAAACACTTTTACACATTCCTGTACCTTCAGTAACTGTTGCAAGCTTAAGAGAAAACTTGCTGCCCTCTTCCAAACAGCGCATCATTGATTAGCACATCTAGAACACTAGTGCTACAGATCAGCAGGATTAAGGCTGTACAGTAACTATGGATTGTTATTTTATGCTACGGAGCAGTCCAATCACTCCCGAGGGCACTGAAGTAGATAATAATGGTGCCTAGAAAACAAACTTCAGCTTTTTCGTATCTCATGCATGATGTCGTGCTTCACAGTTTTCACAAACACACTTCAGCTAACATCAAGTGATTGTTGGCTGTTACAGTAGCTTTAAAAATTCATGCTGCAGGATCTTTGCATTACAGCAGTTTACAAAAACAGCTTTCCAGTGTCAGCCGATTAATGTTTGACAACCCATCCGCAATAAATTAACCAGGGCGATGCAGTTTTATTGTGATTTGATAATTTTTTCAAGCCATGCACTGTACAAAGATTTACTTTGGGTTTTGAGTTGTTGGGTTTGTGGGTTTTGTGGGCTTTTTGTTTGTTTTATTTCAAAGTGATTGGAATGATTTGCTTTTCAATTTATTTTGAAGTAGTAGGATGAAAACAGCACCCCAAGTTCGATAGTTGATCAGGACACGGGATTCACTGATGAGCAGGGACTGTTACAAGAGCTTCCTCAGGAGGTCTGGAAATGTCTACATTCTGTATAATAATAAAAATACAGAGGAGAATATTTATCACGCAGCAGTAAGACCAACAAAAACACCAATCACTTGCACCTTCACAAGTACACAGCTGCATTTACAGAAAAACAGAGATTTTTATTTTTAATGCCCCCGCCCCAGAATGCAGCAGACTGAGAGCTGGCTGGTGTCCCAGACCCAGACAGCAGGAAAATGTACGTACAGTAATCACTGATCCCATGCTGATGCCACCAAAAGCTCAAGTCATTCCCATTCAGGAGGAAGTCTTTTATGGGCCCAGGCAGGAATCCACTTAAACACATACTCCAGCATGTACACTTCTATCCAAATAAGCAAACTTTCAGTGCTTTGCTAAACTATGCCACGTGCTTCCTTCCCAAGCTTTAACTTTGACTGTGTGATAAACAATGTGTTATACCTGCCTCTTCCCAGACACCTTCATGGCTCAAGACTGATTGCACTGACTAGATCTCACCTCATTTTGCAGAGGTTGTAGGGAGAGAGAGAGAAAAAAAAGTAAGATGTTCAGTGCATCAAATTATTTTAAACAAAATATCCCTCCCCCCCCCCAAAAAAAAAAAAAAATCACGCTAGGCAGCACAGCTTTGACTCTGGCCACGCAGAACAAGTCTCAGGAATCAGGCCTGCCATGGTACCACCCCACGTAAATCCAGAAGGCTGTTTAGTTGCTATTCTCCGTTCTACCAAGAATGCAGATTATGAGAAACTGGGCTGAAGGTCTTTCTAAGACTTTGATCTAGGATTTGGCCTGCTTTAGACTAAACCACTGCCAGTTCCGCTAACACATTCTTCAGGCTTCACGCTGACATGCTTGACGCTGTGGTAAGCAAACTCAGCTTTCAATAATCCTCCCTCAGTTCACCCCCCCCAAAAAAAAAAGGAAAAATAGGATTTGGATTTGTTGCTCTGAGCAATATCCCTTTCTGTCACTTACCACCTAAGACAGAAGCACAAAGTAGATGTTTTACCCCAGCACTTGCTGTCTAACCCGAAGAGAGGACCCAAGCAATAGCTCAAGTAGTTCCCCTGATTTATATTCAGTAAAAAGACTGGACTCCTTCATTTGAAAAGGTCAGGAACTTAAGCTGCTACAATGCTGACAAACGCACAGCTTCAATCCACTTGAGACAAATCATCCTCACAGAGCGAGGTTTACACATACTGTAAACAAGTACTCCAGTACTCTGCCTGCAGTGTGAAAAGACGGCTTTTCAGCTGAAGCAGATAAGGAGCACGTTGTCCTGAAACACGGACTACAAATTACTTGTGGGGGCACAGAACACTACAGTAAGCAATTCTTAATCAAATAGTTTCATTGTTTAACAATGTCGTTATCTGTGATGCTAAACTTAATTAAATGCTTTGACTTCAATAGAGTATTTGAAAATTTAATTTAACAGAAACAATTACCATTTGAGTAGCTTATGTAAATGAAAGCTTTTGAAATTCTCAGAGCCCTCTGAGCAGTGTTTAAATGCAGACAGAATCAACCAGCCCCTCCATCCAGCTATCCTAAATGAACAACGTATCACCACCGTAACTCCACTGCTTCGGGTATCTTTCTGGGGGCAGGGAGAAGGGTGTTCAGGGGATTTTTATTAAAAACATCACTGTGTTGGTTTTTTTTTGATTCATTATGTCAATCTATTTCTGTTCTAAACAAACAGCTTTGTGCCTTTGTGTGCACTGCAGTGCAACTGTCCGTATGATCCCCTACGTGCACCTGAAACACAACTACACTCCCATGCCAGTTTGCTAAACATGTTACAAGCTTTCCCCCAAAATTAATGCCTTCAGTTAGAGAAGTGGTATTTTCAACAGCAATTCCCAAGAAACTTTAGCACGTTGTAAATTCAGCACCGGTATTTTATCAGACAAACTATAGATGTTCACTTGATCCGCCTTATTTAACATAGATGATGTTAACACCTGCTCTAAGACATCTTTTTTTATTATTATTATTTTCACAACACTTTTAGGCACTGTGAAATCAGAGCAGATTTCATGAACCTAACAAACCAAATGAAGATGCGAAAGTGGTAAAGCACAAAGATAAAGAGGGAAAGAGAAAGACAGAGGAAAAAAGTAACATGACTACTGGATGGAAAATGTCTTTGCTATGAACGACCAAAAAGTCAGTATTCTGATACTCAAAATGCCTGAGTCATTGAAACAAAAGTTCTCTGCAGACTCTTCCAGCATTTCTGCACAACTACCACAAACGTGTACCCTCATGTAAGGTGTTTTGTGTCTTGTGCCGTACTGTAAACACACACATAAAGAACACATTTATCTTTATATTCTTTTTCACCATAAGCCATTGTTCTGAATGACTGAATGTTCTGAAAAGCCCTTTTTTCTCACTTTATCAGACTGACTTTTAATTCGCTAGTAGGCATGGCTCATACCCTCAGCAAGGACCCACTGCCATACCTAGTGGCATTAGCATGAGGACATGCAAGGGAACAGGAAATTTTTAATCATGACACACTTCACATAACTTTCATAATGCAGCAACGGAAGAGTTGGACCAGATGATCTTTGAAGGCCCCTTCCAATTGAACTTTTCTATTTTAAGAGCTTTGCACAAGCAGCAGAATCAACCCAAGCACATGGCACAGGGAGAATACGGAGCTAGCACAGCCTGCCATTCTACCTCCACTTCCAGTTTACAAACACACTCAATTTCCTTTTCCCCAGTTCTGCTGTATCCTGAGACCTAGCGTTCCGTTCCACCATTGGCAGCACCACCAGTACTGCTTTACTAAGTGTACAGTAATAACCACAGTGATGAAAAAACCTAATGACTTCATTACCGACTCTCCAAAATAAGTAACAACAGCATATTCAAAGTAATTCATAACTTTTTTTTCATAGCTTCATAGAAAGCTTTTCATAGCTTTCATAGTAATTCATAGATTTATTTTTTTTTTTTGACTGCACTCTACTTACGCTGAATGACAAAGCCTGGAAGAACTAAAGTTTTTAGATTGATATTGTGTCTTCAAATTTTCATTCATCTCTATACATATTTTATTTTTTTAAAGATAAGCCACTACTTCTGTTAGAGCTTGTAGGTAAATTTGCTCAATAAAAAGGATCCCCACCCCCACAGCAACACGCATGAAGTAAAGCTGGTAAAATGTAAATAGGTAAAATTAAATTTGCTCTGCAGAGTTACTAAATCATTTCTAACCACATGGACAATGGAAAAGAGCTCAGTACATTATGTCAAGTTGTCTGATTAAAAAATATTCTTACCTCAGGTTTATCTCTGTGTGTGTTTACAGCTTCAACATTCAGGAATATAGATTCTACTTTACATCCTGTTGACAGAAAAAAATTTTAGAATTTGACCGTTTTAAAAAATGAGGTCACAGTTAAGATGCAATCTAATTAATCTAATTTTCAGTTTGTAAAGGTTAAACATTGATTCATACCAGAATTTCCCAAACTGTGAACAGATAAGTCTATTGAAATGAATCTATTTTGCCAGGATAAATACAGTTCTCAGTCTTACAATCCATACCCTATTCTGACCTTAGCTTTATCATTATTTGCTTTGAAACACAAATTCCCACTTTTAAACATACAGAAACTAAAGCATCCAATCAGAAAATTCTTCTCTGTAATTTTGCATTGGTTTTTAACATCCTAGACTTATTAGAATTTCACTGTAGTACAGAAAACAAAATGCTTCCATTTTTTAGAACATGAAAATGATTACAAGGTACACCTTGTGTTGCTAGCAACTCCTGTTCCTCATGTGTGCAAAACAAGAGTCTTAATCTGCAGCTATATTGGAATTTGCCTTCTGGAGAGGATCTTCTCCTCTTCACCCCAAAATTGAAAACTTCAGAGAGTAAGAAAAATTAAGTGTTCAGAAGACACAGCTATTAGCTAGTACAAGCTGACCCACATAGAGAATAATTACTCAATACACTGTGACCACACCATTTTAAGCAACATCAAATTGCCAAACACAGTCAGATCTCACATGAACATGTTTTTTTATAAAGCTACCTAACACAGCATTAATAGTTAAATTCCCCTGACACATCACACATAAAACATCTACCACAAACAACAAATTAAGTTTTTAGGAAATAAGTGAACAGAAAACTCTGAATTCATAACATACTCCATAAGACTGTTGCATGCCAGAAAAAGGTGACTTCAGCCTTTCCTTAGAAAGCCACTGCACTTCAATAGACTAATACAAAGTAATATGGCAAATATTTGCCTTTCCTTGGGGAAGCAGATTCTGAGGAGCCCCATTTGTCACAAACACTGAGCAAACACCACAGGAAGGCAAACAATCTGAAATATCCAATAAAAAAAATAAATGGGGGGGGAGCATGCTTCTCACACTGGGAGAGTACCCTAGTCATCTTTCTGTTCATGGATTCCTGCAACTGAGCAAAAGAAAGCTCTGATCTCCCATGCTGGCCATTGCTACGGCCTGGTTACACAGAGGCCTCAAAAAAAAAATTCCCTATCGTAAAGTTTAAACATAAACCAGAGGCACATGAGTTACTCCACAGGTAAGTCCTGAGGTGCATATTCCTAACTCACTTTTAACTACTGACGTGCAAGTTCCCAAGTACAGCAAGGTGCAATTCCTCTCCCCTGCGTGTTCCCAAACAGACCGTCTGCTCCTCAGCCCCCCATAAATACATTGCACTCCCTGGGCTGAGCTGTAAGGGTCTAACTGATCCTCATCCAGCTGTCAGGCCCTAACAAAGTTCCCCTTCTAAAGATCAGACACTGCAGCTTCAAACGCTAGGAAGAGCAAACCCCTAAGGGAGATGCCTCCCCAGAACAGGATTAGCTGGAAGGTGCGAAATGCACCACGTTTGATCATGCATCCTGCCCTGCTGGGACCAAGTGAGGCATCAACTTGAAATTAGTTTGTAGAAGTATTAGTGCAGAAATATTTCACACAGCCCCTGTATTTTGAGATGGTCAAATTCCAGGAAGTGGGTCAACTGAAAAGTCCTAATCAGACATGTTTCAAACACTTTAAAAAAGAAACACAGCACTTCTTTCACTGAAGTCAAAAGGTCAAGGAGAATATTTCATACTACTTCTTTTCCTTCCTCATTTCAAGTGCAAGTAAGCACTGAAAACATCCAAGCCCTCTTAAAGTTTACGAGCAAAGTCACACAAGTTCCCACTAAAACAAAAAACAAACACACATACGAAAAACAAACAAACAAACAAACAAAAAACCTATATACACGCAAAAAAGACCAAAGGACTACCTCTCTGTGGAAGCAGTCCATGACTACTGAGTCGAGATATTCCAGCTTCCAAAAATTGACTGTATTTTAGAAAAGTATTAACTGTCCTACATCTTGATTTTCAGAACTTCAGCTTGTCATGCAAGGCTAGGAACACCAGATGTCACCAGAGCACAGAGTGTTACTACTTACTGCAGGAGCTAACTGCAATTAAATGACAAAAATCTCTTCTGACATTTCCCAGTGTAACCACTAGTTACTGTGTCTCAACTTTATTCGAAACTAAACCCAAAACAAAGTATGGTTATAGACTGCTTCTTTCAAAGCAGATAATCAAAGACAAGTTTGCATTTTCCATGAATAACTCAACTAGTTCTCAGTTGGTTGGTTTTTTTTGGTTATGTATTTCATGGGTACTTTGTCTTAAGTGTGATTAAGTACCAGAAAATACAATTAAGCCATCACTTAAAGAAAATTAACAGCAGGCACATGCTAAACTTAAAGCAAAACTTAATTAGCAAGCAGCCTACAACCAGTAAGAAGTGCATGTTGCAACCCATACCCTGCACTCTACAAGCTAGCAACAAATCTCAGCTAAGGCCCCCAAGCTAAGACCTAATAACAGCTGCTGACAAGCATATGCCAGAAGCAACAAACGAGAAAAGCTCCTGTGGCAATGTGAAGGAAGGTCTACAAACAAATACTTCAGGAAAACAGAACAAAACTAGTTGAAGGGTAAGGGGAACAGTTCATAATATGTTTAACCTACATTAATTTAGATTTGTTTTCTAAAGCACAATACCCTCAAACACATCAATAGGAACTGGGATCTTACTGTACGAGAGCTAAGTGGCACAAGTTAGTGAAACAGCCTATGAGCTGAATATCCAAGACAATTTTCCATTAGCAGCTTCAACCACTGGTACTTCCAGACCCCCACTAATAAAAATATATTTTTTGGCATAACACAAAGAAAATAAAACCCAAAAGATTAGTTGATTCTAACAAAGCTGCACAGGCAGACATGCAAAGTCAGACACGTTTGATTCTCTTTCACAGCAAAATAGATATTTTAATTGAAATATTTCACAAACTTCACCAATGGCACAGACATTAGGGACACTATATTTAGTCTTTATGGAAATTCTGCTTACCATAAGCCACTGGGGTTAGCTTTAAGACAGTATGTAGCGGGCACTTCAGGTAAGGCAGTTGCTCTGAGAAATGAAACACCAAATTATATATAAAAAACACAGATTACAAAAACATTACCTCTATCATTATGTTACAGGCCAATCACTTAAAAGTTTCTTTTTATCTGACAGTGTATCTATTTTATTCCCTACCATACAACAGACATGCTATTAAGACAGAGTAGAAAAACAAACGTCACAGCATTTCAGGTGAGAAGCAGCTCAATAAAATCACCTACCAAGCTACATGAGCAGATCAAATATCAAAAATTATAGTTGTATACTTGCCTAGCACAAACAATTCCCTTTATCGTCACGGCACGGTGGAATTCATGTTTTGGAACCTTAATCATTAATTTTCAAACTAACTTAATAGAGGAAAATAGACCATTTGTAACTTATCGAGGAAGACTTACCTGCAGGCTTGTCAAGAAAATATGCAAGCAAACAGCGCATGACAGCTTGGTGACATATGACAAGCACATTTTCCTGCCTTTCAAGTTCCATAATTACTGGCTCCAGTCTCTGAACAAGATCTTCATAGGACTGGGGATGGAGAAGCAAGGGAAGAAAAAAAACCATAGCATATTAAAAAGGGAACACTTAACAGGTATATGTATATACATTGGAACTTAATTTTACATTAGCCATTTTCTAAACGTTATATTAGGATGCTGGCAACTATTGTAATAATTAATAATTTTCCTGAAATTAAAAACCACCGTTTAGATCTTTCATATATCAAAGAGTGCACATATAACTAAAAAAAATAATATATCCCCTTCATGGAAGGACTTTATTAAATTAGTCACTATGTTCATGAATTTCCAAAAAAAATCCCTAGAATTTAATTCAGAACATCTGCAAACATACAGGTTAAGTCTTGCACAATATTTTCCATACCTCATCTTCAAAAGCATCTCTCTTCCAAGCACAAATCTAGGAAGCCCAGCCTACAGCCATCACACAAACAGTTCACAAAGCCTAACTTGTTCAGGCTGCCCTTTGAAAACAAACCATGGGCTAGACAAACTGGTATGGCAATGGCAGCCACCGTCTCTTCAAGTCACAAAGCAGGAGGCAGGATCACTCTCACACCACGTCCCGAATAGTACACGCACAGCAAATCTGCTGCTGCAGGTCAACACCAAGGTTTCTATACGTGTGCACTCAAGTTAATCTTCACATGCACAGCAAACAATATTTCCAGGATGCGTCACGCATTACACGCAGGGAGCACAACACGTCGCTGGGGCCCAGCAGAGCAGGAAATGATGGCAGCAGAAGGCTTTCCCCTCGTCCCAGGCAGGCGAGGGGCCTGCTGATCCAGCCCTTGTCATGGGAGCCACCGGTACCTGCTGCATGGAAGCTGCTCGTGACAACCACCAAGATCAACCAGACCACTTGAGGCAACACAGTGCTTCAAGATGCCACCATCCCAGAGGAGGCTTCAGTTCAAAAAAAAGAAACACTTCTTTTTCCAATGGATTACGAGAACTTTGCAGCTGAATGACTGCCTCATTAGTAAAACAGGGGTCACACCTGCAAGCACATGCTCACATGCTGCCCTCATCACCCTGATTACTCTTGACTGCTAGGCAAAGATCTCACAGCTCTGGTTCCACATTACCAAGGGTGCAACACAAACGATGGAACAGCTGCTCCAATTACTCTCCTGCCCCGCTGCCCTGAATCCTAAGCCTTTAGCACCCACACCCAGGCCATGTGGCATCTGGTAATTGCTCCACTGGAATGGCTTTGCTTTAGAAAAGCTGCCAGCAAGTTACTTTCCCAGAGGCAAGGAGTTTATTAAAGTGAAAGACCAATATGGCTATGGATTTCTGTAACTTTTCAGCCTTAACTGCTTGTAGAATAACTATTGTCTATAACAACAATGAGTAGAAAAAGGTAATCTTGATAGTTTGCATGTGCAATATGCTGAAACTTTGCAATTAGTTTTCCTGCAGTATCACTGCAGGACCAGCATCAAAACGATGCTCACAAGACCAAATACTTCAACTGTTTTTTTAAATCTTTTTTTTTTTTTTTTTTCAAGCCCTGAATCAGACTAAATGGTTTCAAGCTCCGTCCTTACAAATCCCTATGTGCCTTCCCCTGGAGACAGAGACAACCTTTTAATTAACTTTAAAACATTGCTCTTTCCTAAAGCCAGCATGCCTGCACTCAAGAAGACAAGGAATTCAGTCACCTTGGGAGAAAAAATAGCATACCTCTCCTTTAGGGTATCTGTATCTGTATTTGTCTTGGTCTCTCAGTGCAAACTCGAGTGGGTAATTTTCCTGTATTTCTTCATATGTCATTTCTTCACACACGCCCTAATAATACAAATAATTACAAAGGTAATACAAATAATTAAAATATGCACGTTTCCAACAATGCAGAAAGCAGATGTCACTGATAGTAAGATCATATGTAAATGTCATTTGACAATTGTTTTCATTTAATCTGGCACTTAGAACATCTTCACGCATGACAAATGCAACACCTGGCTAGACCCAGACACCGTTACAATGAATTTCTAAATCACTCTATGAGTAAAGCTACATATATTGCTAAGCAAGGTCACTATGTGAGCAAGGTTACATTTTATCTATTGCAGCTCCTTTGTATCTTACAGATGCAGTCTGAAAGTGCCAACCACCAGTTTGGTTTTGTTTGTTTGTTTTGTCTTTCTTTCCACTCCCCCCCCCAAAAAAATTTCTTAGCACTGTTTCTTCTACTAGGGAATGTTTTACCAGGAAAGGCAAACCAAAATTAAATTAATTATTACATGTTTATAAAATATTTAACCTGGTAAACAGGAATTAGTTTTTCTAGCCTCTTAGAACCACTGCTTAAATGAATTTCTATCCCATAAAAGGCATGCTATTATAAAGTGACATATTTCCTTCATCCCTAGCAAAGAAAGAAACAGTTTAGACATTTACAAAAGATGGACTTACTGCATCTATCTCATTCAAAACCTTCCACTGTTCATAAGGCACTCCCAAAGCTTCAGCAGTCTGAATTGTCCTTTTCATCTGACTGGTCCAAACTTTCAGATCCTTGATATTTTGCTCATTAATAAACTGTGCCAAGCTCTTGGCAAACTGAAATAAAAACCATGAGACACTGGATGAGGGCTCAGAAACAGGACACTACATTCAGTTTGGAATCCGCAGGCTCTAGCCTCTGTAAGCTCATTATAAAACTTTTCTACATGATCTGTCAAGTTTTTCCTAATAAATAAATAAATAAATAAACACATGTTCTGTTAAGCCAAGAGGAACAGGGGAGGGAAGGAAAGGAGTACAAGGAAGACACAAGTGTTCTGCCATTCTATCTTTACCTCCAGGAATTTTCCCTTCATCTTTAAATTGTGAATTTTCCCTATTATCAAACAAGTTAGGAATTTACAAAAATATAATTCAAATTATAGCCTCCCTGACAACTGCTTTGTGATCTAGGATAAAAAGGAATTTAAATCAATGACAGACAAAAGAGCTGATACCAAATCACAGCACAAAGTATGTCCATCCATGTACACAGCTAATAAAATCTTTAACCTGTTAAGAGGAAAAGGGTGTAGAGGCAGAAAGTTGTAATTACACAGCACAGGCTGTATACACATATGCAGAGATACAATCTAAACCCAGAGGCATGCTTTTTCTGGAGGTACTTACTTCTTTACCCCTGACAGGACAGTCCAGGATCTCCTCCTATTCTCCCTTTCAGATTGAGTTCACTTTCTCCATGTCGACAGAGGTAGATTGACCGAGGAGTCACATGGATATTCATGAGGTAGTAGACAATCCTGCTCTGGATGTGATCCATCACTCTGTTCACAAGGTAACTCCTTCCAACATCCATAATTTTAATATAAGAAAGATCCCTTTCATAAGCAAACAACAATGAAAAATGAAGATTCCATATAGTTTCTATCAGCAAATATCACAATCTTCCCACGCCCTCTCTCACTATAAAACTCAGAGAAAACAAGCCAAAGCAATAAACAAACCCTCCATTACCCATGGAATATGTAGTAGTCCTAAGGGATAATCCTCAAATGGTGACAGGAACATCGCAGTACCCTGGAAGCACAAGATTAATTCTATTCCTCTTCCACATGTGAGCTCCTCACAAAATTCCTTTTTTGTTCCCTTCACTTGCAGTCTGTGTCTCAAATCTAGATCCTGTTCTTGGGAAATCATCCCTCTACTGACAGGCAAATTCAGTATAGGCACTCAAGAGCAGCAGCTTCAAAAAGATTTCCAGCTGTTTTATGATACTCAATATTTTTCTCCAGGTTACAAACGCTTTTTCCCACAGCAACTATTTGCCTGATTGCACCCAAGTTCATAAACTCATGGTCTCTGGGAACCCTTCCAGAAAACCTGAAGCATCAGAAAGACTAGGCACTAGCCTGAAGCAGGACATTTTCTCAACCACTCTAACAACCGTTTATTAACAGTACTGCAATTTACCCTACTACTTTCTCTCAGCATCAGAGAGGTTATAATTTCAATTTTCTTTCCTTATCCTTTCTCATCTAAGCTACAATTTCAGAATAGCATCTAATTTAAAGGAGGACAAAAGTCAAATAAGCTGAAAATAACCACCACTGTTTTCTGGAGATGCATGAGACATTACACTATAATAACACAAGAATATTTGTAATAAAACCAAATGGAGGTGATGAGAAACAAGCATCATCATCTCATCTTTGACTGTATTCTTTGGAGTTAATCATTACTGTTTCACACAGGCACAACAGTTAGGTCCATCACAGATATTTCATGCATGAACTGGTCTAAATGAACCAGCTTCACATTGCTTACAGTCAATTACATTAAAATGTAGCTCAGCCTTCCTATAGCACTGGTCCTTAAACAAACCAGGAGCCCCTGGTATGACTGCAGCTCAAAATGAAATCCTGGACTGTACCAACAGAAACAGGGTTCATCCTCACATGATTTGACCCTAACTTACTTTATAACGTTGAAAGTTAATGAAAAACAATTGAATGCTTTGGCAGGAGGGCAGATAATCTAGATATGAAACTTTCTCACAACCCTGCATGTACAGCATTATTTGCAAGGGTAAATGAATACATTTAGAAATCACATTTAAGAACAATGTGTTCCGAATTCATCCAAGCCATGTCAACAAATTAAGTTATGCTTACAAATCACCCAGGCTCCTGCTACACATTAAAAATAATATTATTTTTTTTTAAAAAAAAGCAACAACTGACCAGTACATCTCATCTGGAATCATTTACAAATGGTGGTTTTATCCCAGAAAAATCACAGCATTCTCCAAGTGGGAAAATCAGGAAGAACATTGTCCCAGAATAAACTCATAAGCCAATTTTCCCTCAAGCAAACATGCTTTCAGGCTACACCTCCAGAGTCAACTGTCTCTCATTTACCAGTGGAAAAAGATGTCAGGAAATGAAAACCATGACTAGAAAGCCCCCATCCCGAATATGGGATCCTCCAACCTCTAATGAAACGTCTTATTATAACCCAGTTGTGATCACAGTATTACTGAATCTCTTACTTGTCAAGAGTTTCATCTAACGTCTCATATGAGTTCTTGTAGCATTCTATCCTTTTCATGAAATCTTCAGTTGCTTCATCATTACTACAATCAACATAGTCTGGACTACCCAGCTTCACTTGCTGTTTAAAACAAAAACAGGAGATTAGTACATAAGTTTATTTCCCTTTTTAATGGAAGTTTAAGTAAATGAGGGCAGGGGCACAACACAACACAAAAACTTATTTATTTTGTTAATTAGAATATATGTAGAGCAAGAAGATTTGTTATTCACAGAATTTAACTTCTGGGATAAATACAGATAGGAAAATAAATGAAAAGTATCACACTAAGGGGAGCTAACAGTTTTTGCTACTGGAAGTTCTTACAATTGTACTTGTATACATACTGAGGTACTTTAAACCTCTTGACTTAGAGCAGTTCAGGCAAACTTTCCTGTACTCACCACAATGTTTGCAGCAATGACCTCTGGATCTACACATACTGACTCCACAAAAAAAGTCTTCAGCCCGAACAGGAAGTCACATGTACAGAAAGAAGGAAGAAAAGAAGATGAATTGGATGGACACCAACATGGACAAGCATCAGGCTGACCACTTCTATGCTCTTTTCTAATAGCGCTTGCTTTGGACACTTTCCTCCATTGACTCAGAAGTTCTGCTTCTCCAGGCCCTCTCAGCAGAAATGGATGGCTTACAGTTCCCTGAAGCATCATGCTTTACACCCTTTGCCCCATCAATGCTTGTAAGTGGAAACATTTTGGAGTGAGAATAATTTAGGATGGAAGACGGAGAAATAAATGGAGAGGATGTAAGTTCAGCCATACAAACGGTAACTAACACTTCTGAAATAATAAAGTGGGAACCTTTCAATTAATGGAGTAGTCTCACTCAAGAGGTTTCTGCTTGGCTGTCTCAAAGGTTTGTGGAGATGCAAGGTTACTAATAATCTTCCATTTGCTGTAAACAGCTACATGCAAAACAATCCTGGACGGAAGGCAGAAATACACAGGAAGTCTTTGGTTTGCATGGAATTAACGCAGATTTCCCTACATGTTTCTGCAGGAAAAACCTGGCCAACACTAAGAACCACAGTTTTAATAGCTCTTGCTAACAGTATGCTAAGAATTACACCTCCAGGACAATGCAAGTGAAGCCCTAGCATAAAATAGATTAGCTCCGAAGGAGTACAAACATTAAAAGACAAGAAAAATGAACATGGGGCAACTTTTCATCACAAGCAATGCTTGAGGACACAAAACACCACACTGACTGTACATCTAGCAATGATGTGCCTAATGCTAGTGCACGTCTAAACTCAGACTACAGACAGAGCGAGGAGGCAAAACTACCACCGCCATGCTTGTCCAGGCATTAACTAAGAACGTTTCTGCTTTTTGACTCACCTTATACCCATTTTCTTCTCCAAATTTGTAAATAGTTTCTCTACGTTCTCGAGTTGTATTTGTAGCATCAAAGACCTAAAAATAATTACAGAGAAAGAGCAAGGGAAGAATTAGAAATGTATCATAGCCTGTGAAAAACGGTCAGTGACAACAAAAACAAGAGTTCAAAATCCCTCAATGTGAAGGAATGCAACAAAAATAATTCCCTTCCCTTCGTTCTGCTACCTTTTATTAAGTCAAGACACTGCTATTCCCAGAAAAAAAAAAAAGACGTAATTATGAAAATAAATTTATTTTATCTGACTCAAGGCCATGCTCTTCTTACATATCTGTCTGACCACAGATGATCACAAATGGAGGCTACATTACATTTCTATAGCAGCTTCTCTTGGTGATACACAGAAAGAAATCTTTGAATTTTCACAGTCCCTTCTCAGAGATTAATGCTGTGGCTCTTAAAAGGTGCCTCAGTTCAACAGCTTAATGGCTTGAAAACAAGCCAAAGAATACATAAAAAAGATGGTGAAATCAATGATACTGAAAATACAAGTGTAAAACTATGCAGAAGACCTGCAAGACTAGCAAATCCTGTCTGTGAATTATAAGGAAAAATGCAGAGGCTTTCCTGAGAAAATATGTTTAGCATAGAACATACCAGCATTTTACCACAGTATAAAGTTTACCTCATACACACAAAAGAACTTGTAATTGTAGCTAATGGTTTTCCCTGTTAGTTCATAAAAACACCAGAGTTGTGTCAGTCTAGTCTTTAAAAAAGCAATGTTATATATTTCAGGTGAACGTACAACATACACAACAGTGTAGTTTGTTGAAATTCTTATATTTTGCATCCTGTTAAATACTCAGATATACCATAATTTAAACTGAGTCTTTTTTGCTCTCTTCAGAGATTTCTTCAGTGTCAATAACAAAACTGCCTAGCAATACTGAGGATGCTTTTTGTTCAATAAGTCATTACCATTCACTCGAAACACTAAACTTATCAAATAAAAACACAAGTGCAAGAAAAAAACAAACCACAACAAACACAAAAAACAGATGTACAGATGCGTTTAACAGAACATTACATAGAGTGGAGAAGGTAGACAACTTTATTAGTGTCATCCTATCCCCGGTTAACCCCTCAAATCAAAGGTGATTGCCTAGTATAATCCTCACCCTAAACTTCAGTGCTTCTTTCACTGCAGCAACAAGGCTGATCTAATTTACAAGAAAAGAAGAAAATCTGATATACTGAAGAAATACTGGAATATCTCAGATTGCGTATTACCCAGCAGAGAGACACTGTTTTGTAGAGAAAGATCTCAAGAATTTGTCTTCATCAAGAAACTTACAGCCACGTGCCCATTTTCTTCACTGAGGTACTGTCGGACGTCATTCAGCGCTGCTAAGGCACACTGTCTTAAGAATGAAAAAGAAGACAATTCAAATGCTAGTAGAAGTCATCTTATCACTCATGTCTTGAGATCAAAGTGCCCTGGAAATATTACATCAACTCCCTCAAAAACACATATTGCCAATCAGTCCCTCTGTGAAACAGGAGAAAACCGACAAAGGTGAACAAAAACCAACAAAGGTGAACAAAGCCCTAGTGAGGAAATACGGTGATGGCTATCTGCCTAAAAGACCAGTCCCATGCTCCTCTGGGCAACCAATACAGCTAGACATCAACACAGAATAGCCAACAGCTATTCACAGATAGTTGCTTCCTAGTTTGATTCTCAAAGAGAAAAGAAAAAAAAAATTAACTTCAGCCTTTCATCTTGTTTCAACATTCATTTCAACTTGAGGCCACAATAGACCTTACAAGCATTTTTCAGTAATTTGCTTCTCTTGTTAACTATTGCAGTAAAAATTGCTTGTGGCAAAAAATCTGCTGAAACAGAGAGCAAAACAAAGTTAGTGTCAAGTATTAGAGAGAGAGACATGAAAATAATGCCCCATTGTAATCACCAACCCAATGTAATTTGTACTGGAGACTGCTGAAGAAACAAACACCAAAAAAATCCAACCCCAACACTTCATACTTGTGTTAAATCTGGACAGGGATAAACTCATTATCATCTTTCCTATTTGCCCAGCACTGGTGTTATCTCCAAAGTCCATTATGATTTGTAACAGGTAAGTAATACTGTGGGCAGAATTAATATTGTGTATGATTTGCTCACTAATAGAGCAAAGCCCCATTTATTTCAAAGAACAACAATCTGTTTGAAGGGCCAACAGAAGAATCTGCCCATTTCAACAGCCTTTCTGTGCATAACTACTCTGTTCTAACTTCCAGACTGAAATGCACCACTATCGCTTTATGTATGTTCTGAATGCAGAACTTTATTTTAAAAAGAAAACGTTTCAATCCTGACAGTATTTCCACATTAGTGTGGCTAACAGATGTCAGGAACTGAGATTCATCAGTCAAATCTTCACTAAATAAATATAAACTCATTGCTTACTAGGCAGATTAGCTCTCACAGCCCATTTCATGGGCTATTCCCCACCATTTAGTCTAATAGGTGACATGGAGGCACATAAAGGTTTCTTTCTACCACTAAGCAAAAGGCAGATGCTAGCAAGGCTAATGCACCACTCATCTACAAAGGTTCAGAAGCTTTTATGCAGGTTATAGCAGTCCTTAATTGCTGCTGAAGTGGAAAGGAAGGGAGAAGAGAAAGAGGACAAGCAGAAGGGGAGCCACAAAACAAAGTCCAGACAGCAGGAAAGTCCAGGTATTTTTGATGCTTGACCTGAAACAACTGAAAACAAAATACACTGTATTTTAAGCAGCCTAAACAAATGACATTTACATTCCTCTTTTCCTTATCACTTCACGGTGTACTAACTCTTCTCCTGAGCATACAAAAATGTACAATGAAGAAAATCAAAAGATCATCCTATTGAATCTTCCATAAGAAAGGCAGCTTCCCCTAGCTCTGATCTTTTCTTCCTCTATTCTTTCTTCCAAAGGTACTTTCTCTACACTGAAGAGCAGATTCCTTCCAGGAAAGAGGGGAGCCTCAAGTGCTTCTGGGCACAAATGCTTACCCCAGGCTCACCTTCTTTTGTACAATATTAGCAAAGTATTGCAGTTGCTCAGGCACTGCAATGGGCTGAGTACGTGAAGCACCTGTGTGAAGGCCAAAAAGACAATCTCAGGGAGAGAGTGCTAGTGCGTCACTCCTGCTCATTTGAGTGGATAATGACAAATGCATTCAAAGTACTTTAGGTGAAAAATCCCAGTACGAAATCCTGAAAGAAAAGGAGCTCTGTGATTTTTCTTTTTCTTCATGATCCATACAACCATTCTGAAACGGCATTATAGGAATTAGATAGTGAAAAGGTCAAGCCTAGTAACTGGTACCTGACAAAGAGGTTAAAAAAAATATATAATAATTCTCCTTTGTTTTGTGAGAATATTTCCTGCAATATCCATATCAACAACAGCTTACCAAAAGGCCAAAAGGAATCAAGTTTGAGTATTTACCTTCTCCACATTTTGATGCTTCAACTGAAGCAGTTAGGAAAAAAAATATCCTAGGTTTTAAGGAGTCTAAACAAATCGCTTTTCCATCCCTTCTAGATTTCTTTTCCTTGTCATTTCATATTGCAGTCTCTTAAGGGTCTTTTGAAGCATACAAAAATGAAACTCAAAGCAGTATTCAAGAGCAAATTACAGAGTACTATTATAATACAACTTCGCATTGTATAGCCAAACACATTCAAAACTTACTTCCTGATTTTCAAGCCTTCTTCATTGTCAGGCAGGAAGAATTCAAAAGATTTATATTTCTTCACCAAATCTCGACGATACTGACCGACATTAAATTCTGCCAAGAAGAAAACAGTGTTAGTGGGAACTAACAGTATTCATATAAAAAGGATAAATGTTATGACAGCTTTGAAACCAAACTACCTGAGAAGATAAAATAATTCAGTGTGTTTTTTTTTTCTACTTTTAAATACAAAGACCATAGAAATGGCAAAAGCAGTATTTGAGCTGTAGGCAGCTTCAGTGGAGTCACTTGACCATATGGCTATGCCTCTCTCTGCCAGTTCGCCTGAACAACAATAAAAATCTCTTTTCCTGTTTTGTGAGGGTGGCTGGAAGTCTATTTCAGTAGTCTACAATGAACAACTCATAGTCTAGCTTTTCCCTTCTGCACATATGTGCAATATTCTGACAGCACTTCCCGAAGCTTTCGGCTCTTATTTAAGCAAGGAAGGGCTCTATACAGGACTAGCCCACCTTGCTTTTGATAAAAGACACTCAAGTTGTGGAAACAATTTCTTAAGGACCTTGCTCCTTAAAATAGTTCTACTCCTTAAGGATCAGTATATACCATTTCACAACCCCTGTTCCTTTTACTAAAACAAAACAACAACATAAAAAATTTAAATGCTTAACTTGGGGGAAATGTCACTATAAGTACTGAACACAATCTTACTATCATCTGTTAGCAGGTGGTCAAAGAAAAGCTATTCCTTATCTGGGCAAAGGTCTACGTGTGTCTACGTGTCACCCTGTATCAGAGAGGGGATTAGGGCAAGGCAGCTCTGTTTTGCAGCACAGCAGGCAATGACATTGTACCCTAATTAACTTCACTCAACAGCTCTTAAAGTAGGTCTCTGAAATGCAATTAATGTTTAACTTGTTTTCTGACCTATAGGTTTTCTCTGCTGAACTGCAAAGCATTTTTGTTTAATGTTATATCAGACAAGTACTCTGAGAAGCTGCCAAGGTATCACTACTTGCCCAACTTCATTTCTAGGGAAAGAAATAACTGACATCATTACTGAAATGAAATTAAGAATTAAAAAAAAAAAAAAAGGATTAAAAAGCTCAATTTTAAGTTTTCCTGACAGAAGCATATAGACTGCTGTTTGGATGAGGGCAAGGAGAGGATAAAGAATAATCATTATTTGTCCCCTCAAAGTTGAGTTTTGTTTGAATTCTACAATGTTGATGCATGAGGTGGATTATAGTATAAACCAGGTTATTTTGTGACAGGTTTAATGAGTATTGGCCATACTGGCTACAGGAAAAGGTGACTCCTTGTAAGAAGAAAAAAAAAAAAAAAAGAAGAAAATGCAAGAAGTTCAGATGACCCATGTTGTCAAACCATGGCCCTTTAAATAAACAAAAATGAATATTTTTATATCAAATAATAGCTACTGCAAGAGCAGTGTCATGCACAACAAAGGAAAAAGTGCTATCTGGTGACATAATCTTTCGTCCTTATTATTAGCACCTACCTCTGTGGAGTTTTACAATGCTAACTGCTATCACAAGTACCACACAGCTGAAACTATTCAAAAAGCTTCCGAAGGTTCAGTATCTAAAATCCACACTGAAATACAATTCTATTCAGGCATCTAATTGACCTCATTTCCTTCAAAAAGCCCAGACAGAAGTCCTTTGTGTTTTTAAGCATTTAAAATTCTTAATGACAAAGGATTTTGGAAGGAACAAAAGACAAAACAGAACTGATGGCTTAAAACATTTAAATAACATCAACCCTGGGCTATTTACCTGCAGGGTTTGTTCTTGAACTCTGCAGCTTGCTTAATGCATGTTGCATGAAAAGACGGCATTTATCTTTCCTCTGGTTTACATGAACTAATAATTTTAACCATCTGTCTGAGGATAAAAACTGTATTAGGTACACACTAATTTTAATGCATTAAGAGCCAGAGGATAACAGATGTTAGTAATACTTGATAGTTATCACATATCACTCAGAGATTCAGTCCCAAACAACAGGAAGCATGATGCCGTGTGCAATCCAGTCCATCAGTGAGGTATTTTAAATTGATCTCGGCTTCAGTAACATTGCATCACTGATGACCACAATTATCAGACTGTGGTTTTCTAAGAAAACCCTGTCACACTTTCTAACAAAGGCAAACCATAACCAGCAACCTACGATGGAAGCCCATGTACTAACTTCATGTTCTGTATTTTTGTAAAGAAAGGCATCGGTGTTGTAACAATTTGTTAAGCAGCACAGGCACAGATATTTTCTGATGTGCTGCTTCCTATAACTGAAACAGTCCACTGCTACCTATTTTACTTTATTCAGGGTATGTACAACCAGCCACTGAGTCAGATGTGGACAATATTTTATGTTGCCTGGTACTACATTTCTGCTTTTCAAAGTTCACATAGTAGAATGCTCAACACGAGCACATAGCCACGGTGTAACCAGCCTAAGCCACTGCTTCCCACTCAAAACACACATATAAAGTCCTTAAGAGAATGAGAACAAGTGACTGGTTCAGTTCCTTGCACTCTTTATGTTCAGAGACAGAGCTGTAACCTATTCCACAAATACTGCATAACAACACATTGTTTAACTGAGAATTACACATTGCACAAAGTTCACAGAGAAAAGAAGACGAAGAAGACAGAACTTTAACCCAGAAGTGCTGACTGCTCATCAGCTTGTAAACAAGCTTCCTTTTCAGCCCCATACAGAGAAGGGAGGGGGGGAGCAAATGAAGAAACAAAGTGTTAAGGGGAAAAGGGCACTGTTGATGTAAGCGTCTGTCAGAATATGGAGGTAAATTAACAGCCACTAGAACTTGATCAATAAACATCTAAACAGATGTTTTACAGTGTATTACATTAAAATATAAAAATAAAATAAAAATAAAATAAAAATAAAAGCAGACAGATTCTAAGTAGTCAAACTGAGCAACAAAATTACTGGGAATTAGGGTTATAAAATGCCTAACCTCACCCCTGCACTTCTGATGCAAACAAAAGTCAGTCCATCACCTTTTGTAGGCACTCCAATCCAATTTAAATATCGTGTCAGCTTCTTCGAGATGTAGGTTTTTCCTCTTGCTGGCAGACCCACCATGACAATCAGAGTAGGGCAGTTGGTCATACATACTGAAACAGAAAACCAAGACAGTTATTTACCAGTAACATTCCCACAAAGCGAAAGCTTATACTGCAGCAGCAAATTACAATCCGTGTGCTCTCAGAGGAAGTGACTGTTCAAGCAGCTCATGCACAGTGTCGCCCTGTTTCAGGGGTTTCTTAAGCAGGACAGTGGACCTAACTGGGATTTGTAGGCTGTGTGGAATTTCAGAAAGGAAAACCAGTGGCAGTACAATGCTGGACACACAAGTTGTATATGGGTAGAAGACAAGAAACAACTGTCTCTTCAGCTATGGTTTAAGACATACAAAAACAACAGCAAAAAGGACAGATGTGACCTTCTTAGGGACTTCATACGCCCCTATGCACCTCAGTTCAGTGCTTGCATTGAAAGGAAACTGCAAGGTGTACACAATTTCTAAGATAAGTTTTAAATCCCTAGGACACCACCTCAACACTGTTCAACCTTTTCTTGGTTTGGAGAGAAGCAAGGATGACATATGCAGCTTAGTACATTATGGTGTGACAAGGTGCTCAGTATTTATGATTTCTCCTTCAAATATTGTTAACAAAAAATCTCTCTTGAAACAGCACAATTTAACTGCTCTTGGTTGGTTAGTAGAAGACATAAAGCATGAGTATGCTAGGCTATGAAGAACAATAATTGGATGTACAGATGTATATAATCACTCAAATCAAAGAGAGAGTTTTTAATTTAAAAAAATCACTGTACAAAGTTGGAGGAATTTGTGTCTATAATCTGAACACCTTGAGGCATTCCTTTCAAACGACAAGGGTTTTGCATGTATTAATGGTACAAAACTACAGATACCTTGCATGAATCTATCACCGCTACAAGGAACTGCCTAAAAAGAAAGAAGATATTAAAGTGGCTCACAGATCGCCCACATTCTGTATTTCAAAGGGCATTAACTTGCATACCACAATCCAGATGTGCACCAGTTTCCTCAGTCTCTCCATTGAGGAGCCCATTCCCTCCAAGAGACTAAACCTCAGTGTCTCACCGTAACATGTAACTAAGCTCTGCTGCACTGCTATTGCCTGAGATTCCCAAAGCCTGGACTCAACCAAAGTCCCATCCCACTAAGTTACATGCGTAAATCTTGCACAGCAAGTCCGTCAGAAGAGAATGAACAAATTAGCTAAGACAGATGCACTTTCTTAAACACACATGGGAAGAAAAGGACACAACACCACTTCTCACAGGAGAGCAGGCAAAAGGTGTACTTAACCTCAAACCCGTGAAAGACAGGCTACTCTCCATGCAACGAATGTGACAAGGGACTGAATGCAAACCAAAGCAGATCCATCCACACACATGCAGGTCTCCAGGAGAACACTGATAGAAGCCCTAAAAGTTAACTTTGCTGTGCCCAAGTCTATGTAGAAGGATTACATTTTCTTGTCCGGCTTCCTCTTTGTCCCACATTCGTGCCTGGGAACTCTGACTCCAGGAGGAAGGCAGGCTCTGGGGAAACAAAGTCTAGGAGGTGCAAAGAGGACAGTGCTTACTGAGCTTAAAAGCTTTGCTTCTGGTTTTGCAGGCACAAAATAAATAAAAATAAATAAATAAAATAAAATAAATAAATGTGGTGAGAGAAAACCAGAGCCCCTAGAATTTTTAAGGGAAGTCATCAACCTTTGAAGCCAATGTGAAAGGTCCTTCATCTGAGATACCCAGCTTGAGTTTTAAACAATCTTCCAGAGTAATACTGCAGTGAAATAACAGTTGGGAGAACTGATGACAAAAAATCAGGATCTGCACAGAAAGTCTACACACACTGCCTCAGGTCCACTTGCTCTCCAACAAACCTGTGTAAGCCACACTGGCTTCCCAACCAGGCCAAGCAGAATTTACCAGCTGACATTACCCAGCCCACCTCAACTCTTTTCCTTTTCCTGTAGCAGGCCACACAAATCTACCCATCTCATGATGCTTTCTCCCACTTATTGCCCAAGCCTGGCACCTCATGTGCATTTTCACACAGATTTCCTCACAGAATATGCAAAACCCAACAAAATTGCCTGTATCTGAGGCCTATGCAGACAGATTAGCACACAAGTCCCATCTGCTGCTCCGATCTCTCTGCACAGCTGCTCAGCGTGCGACCCCAGGGCAGAACCCAAGGGACTTACCGGCTGGTCCTGATCTAACAAGTGGCATTCCTGTTCTGACGAGGTGCCAGGCTGCCCTGAGCAGCTCCCTTCCAGCAATGTTTTTATTCCTTCTCTGCCTCAGCTGTAGCATTATAAACTGCAGGTAGGACTCAGCACAACAAACACTGGTTTTTCTTTCCTTCCTTATCATCTTGTATAGCTCAAAAGGCTCAATTTTGCTCATTAGCTTGGTAAAATAGTCAAGTCTAAAGCAAAACAGGTAAGTTCTAAAAATGTACCAAACACTCAAAAGTTAAAGTTATTTCAAGTATCCTCCATGTTATCTGATTGCAACTTTCTCAATAACGTTGCAAACGCTTCTTACTGCAAGTGGGAAAGAACATTCATTCAAATGAATTCATTAAAATGTCAATGTCTCAAAACTCTCCCCTTCCTTTAAAGAAACATAACCAATTTTGACATGAGGAATGTGAATTGTTTAAAAAAAAACAAACAACAAAACATAACCACACAAGTAGCATATAACTAACTCCCCAAATAAAAAAGCCTCTATGGCTTAACATCTTCCCAATGGCACAATGCTCAACTTCCCTTTCCACGGCACCCCTCCATCATTCACTTCACCTAAAAAAAGCTTAGCAGCACAAAAGCAAAAGGAGCGTATCATTGCAAGCTGCAGAAACAAGGCAAAATCTACTCTCATGAAACCAAACTCATTTTTTAACACCGCTTCAGGAAGACAAACCCTGAGGGTTTCTGACAGCGCCGACCTGGGATGTGCCATCAACATTAATTAATTGTGCTAGAGGAACAGACACAGTCAGAACAGCAAAACAAAACTTCAAGGGCTGTATGCTGTCACATAAGGAAGATGCTCTACTGCTTTATTCATTTTTTTTTTCTTTAAAATATGTTTGCACATAAGGTTGCAAGCTTACAAACGGCAGCATCCAAAAGAAATGTATTTTTTGATTGAGGGGACACAACAAGCACACACACACAGAATCACAGAATCATGGAATATCTCGAGTTGGAAGGGACCCACAAGGATCACTATCTAGTCCAACTCCTGGCTCCACACAGGCTACCCAAAAATTTAGACCATATGACTAAGAGCACAGTCCAAATGCTCCTTAAACCGTGACAAGCTCGGTGTCGTGACTACGTCCCTGGGGAGCCTGTTCCAGCACGCGACCACCCTCTCAGTAAAGAACCTTGTGAAGAACACACAACAGCAATCAGTGAAGGGAAATGGCCAAGTGACAAAGCACATTAAAACCAAATATCAAAATTTAAGCAAAGTCATCACCTCAGCTAAAAAAATTAAAAATATACACTGAACAACACAGCAGGCTGCATCTCAGTGTAAAATTACAACTGCCTTTCCTTCTAATGTTATACACTGAACAGTCAAGGAAAAAATAAACTACATACTCGTTTCTTGCCTCTTAAGACTCTTATTGTGAAATAATGCAAGATACTGAAGAAGGTTTTGAATCTGAGCTGGGACACTGTATGCCCTAGATCAGCTGCGCGGAATTTCAATAGCCCTCCAAGTTTGCATCATCACGTGAAAACAGAGTTGATTATTTTCAAGTTCATCCACTACCTACCATATTATCAACAATCCCTTTTCACCTAAAATGAGACTTTTTTTCCCCATATTTGTTAATATTTACAGTGAGGTAGTTTTTTTGTATGAGGCTGCTCTAGTTAGCCATGTGAATTTTACTGAATGATTCCTGCTGTTGCAATGGCCTTCAATGCACAGCCTGCTCCTGTACGATTTAGAGGCTCACACACAAATGCCTTTAACTATATGCCAACACAACCACTCTTCCAAATCACACTAGGCTCACACGTTTTCCCATATCATTTATCCAACTCAACTAATTATTTTTCTTTTCCTGTTGGTCAATACCAACAGTTTGTCATCCTTCTTTGCATGTTGCAGTGAAAAGTTCCCTATTTGGTGCTCTTCCTCCCTCTCCTATACCTGAAGGAGTCCATCCTCTTCTATTTCTCCCCTCTCCTTTTTCCAAGCCACTGGTTTCGAACGGCACTTTGGTACGAGGGATTCATACTTGTCCTCTGGCGGCCAGCCTTGTGCCACCATCTGCTCGCAGCAGCTCTGCCACCCACTTGCTCTGGGCTAACATTTGCTTCCTACAGCTTTGACGCCACCAGTGATCGCCCTGGTGTACATCCTGACCTCATTCACTTTCTCCATCTTCAGTTCCTAGGGCTGGGACTACCGATACGTAAAAGCAGTGTCAGCTCACAGGGCAGAGTTCTCTAGAGCAAAGATGACCTTAATTTGATACTCCTCATTTCTTTTTGGACCTGATGTACATCCACACTGCTGTAGGAACAGCAAATAAAACTCTTTAGAACGACCAAATTCCAGCTCTGGGAAAACAGAGCTGTTAACCGCAGCTGGGGGGGAATAATCTTTAACCATAGGAAGCTCAACGTTTATCTGCCACTCTGTAAACATCCTCTGCTGGTCTCTCAGAACAGCTTTCGCTGTAGCATACTTTGCTATTTATGTTTAATTCCTGTGCTTGAAGCCCATTCACTGAGCTTGTAGAAGTCCAACAGCCAATGCCAAGAGCAGCTCCAGTGCAACCCATTTAGAGACAAAACCTTTAACAACAGACCACAAGAAGATGAGTGGAAGCTATCAGTAGAAATGAACATCTCTACTGCCCGCGTCTTACTTTGGTAGGTCCTTTAGAATAATTATCTCTATTTTCCTCATCTTAGCAGCGGTAAAAGCGCAGTCTGATGGGTAGGGTACGTGCAGTCAGAACTCCTTGATCTTCCTCAAAGACTGATGATCTGACTGTCTGATGCACAGACTCAAAGAACCTGTGCTTCAAAGACCTGCAACAGCTACAGCCCAGACACACCTAACCAGGTTTCTTCTTCCTCTGATAATTTCAGCTGTTAAACTTCTTAGAAAAACACAGAAAAAGCACTTAGTGTAGGTAAACCCCTTTGAACACAGATCTGCTGTGTCCTCCCCTGGAAGTATGCACAGTTCTGCTCAGCCACCTTCTAGAACGATGAAGACTAATAGGTGGTGCAGGTCAATGTCATCAGCAGTACGATGAACTAAAAACTCAACCAGAAAGACACTTGAGGAGTTCATCTTGCTTAGCCAAGAAAAGGAGATGTCAGAGCAACCAGCTTCACCGCACCCTCCAGGAAGCTGAGGACCAGCAAACTACTCTAGACTTGAGCTCACCGTTTCTGAGCAATAATCCTAACCCGGGTACAGGCAACAGCAGAGGGCTGGAACTGGTCAACCCAGCACTGCCAAGGCATCGCCCCATCAGGGCAGTGCTGAGTCCCACAGCTCGGCCACAGGGCCCGTGGGTCATGATGCTCATCGGAGCAAGAGGCGACACGACCTATGCAGACATGGGGGATAAAGGACATGGACAAAGGAAAAACTACAGCGTGTTCTCAGCAGGCTGATGCAAGGGAGATGGCTTTTATCATAGGAGAGCAAGTCCTGCCCCTCTCTAGGCTGCCTGAACTTAGTGGCTAGCACAAATGGCTGGAGACGTACTGGAGGTACACTGCGAGAGCAAATACAAGCAGGATTAAAAAAATCTCCAAACCTGGCTTCCTAGCTAAAAGGCTTCTCAATTATAATGGGTCATGGGCATCCAAAGATTACTGAAAGTCTACAAAAATAAAAAGACTTGGGAAATAAATTTTAAAAATCTGATTTCTTAGTCGAGAGAAACTACATCATTCCATCAGGAAGACTCCATATGTCACCAGGCTGCACGTGACCAATGCGCGATTTCGGACTTGGTTCTTTTATTTTTATTCACGTATTGGTAAAGCACAGTGTTTGCATCAAAGCCGTGACAAATGCTGTTTTGTTTGGAGAAGAGCTGCCGTGTTACAGCCAAAATGAGGCGTTCTCCTTCGCCTGCTTACAACAGCAACCACACACACTTCCCGAACCTTTCCTTACTGCGGCATTCTGTTAGTGCCTGCTATTCTGCAGATGCTGGAGCAACGTTTCACACCGAAACACCAGCCTGCTTACCCAGCAGAAATCCAGACGGTTTAGGCTATTTATTTTTTGTCCTTTTTTAAGCACAGGCTGAAAAGCAACGCAAGGAAGGAGAAGCCCGTGGCCGCCTGCCACGGCGGCGGAGCCCACAGCGCGTCCTGCGTGACAACCGCGCACAGCTCGCCACAAAGCCCCTTTTGTCTGCAGGGCCGCCGCAACCTGGACCTGGAGGGGGGAAAGAAACCTCTGCGAGACCTAAATAAGAGTTAAAGAAGTATGAAAACACACCACACGCTGCCAGGCAGCTCGCTAACAAACGCCACAGCCCAAACCCTGCGAGCCCCGCAATACGAGGAGCCATTAACTCCCGCGCCAGATGGCCGATAAAGCAGCGGCTTTAAGAAACAACACAGGAATATGTTTAGGCCCTTCTTCTGGAAGCATCTACCGAACGCGGAACCGCAGCGATCACAAGAAACGCCCCACGCGATGCCCCTTCCAGCAGCCCCCCCACCCCACCACCCCGGCTCGGGGGCTCGGTGCCCGCCCCGCTCACCGCCGCGCTGGGCGCTGTGCCCCGCCGGCAGCCCGTTGTCGTAGGGCTCCCACGTCTTCTGCAGCGGGTTCTGCGTGAGCTCCCGCGACGGCGACGCCGCCGCCGCCGCCATCCTCGGTCGCCTCCCGGCTCCCGGCGGCGCCGCCCCCCCGGCACGGCCCGGCCCGCCCCTCACAGCCTCGAGCCCCCGCCGTGAGGGCGGGCAGCGAGGCCCCGTCATGGCGGCTGCGCCACCTGCCTGCCAGCGGGCCGCACGGGGCGGCTCGGTTGGGACCAGGCGCCCCTCACAGAAGGATGTGGATGTGGGGTTCTTCCCACAGGGGACAGTCCTCTGAGTGTGCTCTCGGCAGCCAGCACAGTCAACCCCCAGAACAACACTTCCACACAAAGCTTCCAAAAGGAGTGTTAGGGCTTCACAGAAACCCACGGCCGGTCAGCTAAACGTTGGTTTAGAAAGTCAGGCACTGACTAACGCATTTGTTCAGTTACACTTTCTGTCACAAGGAAGGCTAAATAAATACTGGTGCAGAAAATCGTAAGGAAACAGCAAGTTCCTAACGTCTTGTGGTGTGGCTTAAATGCAGCATGCAGCTGCCCTGTTTCACATCAACATTACCAGCTTTATAGCTCCGAGAAACCCCACACCTATGTTCACTGGTGGACTTGCTGGATTAGCCTCATCCAGACTAAGCAAAGTCATTACAGAGGTGAATATTTCACTCTTACACACACCTCCGTCTTCGTATTTTACACACAGATTCTCAGGGCACTTAGCTTACAGTGGTCAAACACAACATGCATTTTCATTGCCTATCGGGTACTCAGACACTTTGACATTAGCACATATACATGTATAAACATGACTCAGTATGTCTGTGTGAATACATATATTTAAATACTAGTCAGTCCGAGCATCTAAGGATCATTTTCTGTTTTTCTACTCGACCGCAAGCCAAAAGGTAGCTTTTTAAACAACAAAAAAATCTGTCCCCGGAGACACTGGGTAAGACGCTCGCAGGAAAATTGATGCTGTTCTTCCAAACCCATGTGTGCTTGACCTGCCCTTCCCTCTTCACAAAGTTCATTTCCTTCTCTTCAAGATTGATTACAGTTTTCAACCCTTAGGGCCTGCGCTATGTTTTTATGTTAGCAATTCTTTCTTGATTTTGTTTTGACTCGATAGCTGACGCAGGGGGGCAGAGGGGTTACAGGATTTACGTTATAAGGGTCAGAAAACAGGGAGCAGAGAGAGGAAGGACTTTATGAACATTTGAAGGCTTCCGTCTTTTTTTTCTGTTAAGCATGTATTTACTTCCAAAAGATATCAAAAGCGCCCGTGAGCAGGAGCAGCTTAATCTGTGTTCCAGGTCAAATCCATTGCTCCATCGCCTGTGTGTTGACGTCGCGTTGCAGCCAGCTGAAGGGTCGAGTCCAGCATCAGCCCCGATGTGTCTGCCTCAACCTTCTGATCAGGGCAATGCCACAGGGATGCTCCAGCTTTCTTACCAGTTCCTCCAGTAAAGACAGCAAGTCCACAATTAATTTAACAAAGTATTAAGAGAAAAAGGAGATTCATGCCAGCTTTGGAAAGGCACTTCTCAGGCCTGTCGTGCATTCATTAAGTAGAAAACAGCAAGGTGCTATCTCCCTCCAGCCTCTACAAATGAAGTTGGTTTCTCTTTTCTGCAAATCTGCTCAGCACACAAGAACCGAACTCCACTCAGACCTACCTCACACCTAAAAGCACTGACCTGATGTTGTTAATACAAGAACAGCATTCCTCAAAGGCATGCAGGGTGAATTACCAAATTTCTAAATTTCTAAATCATGCCCCAAACATCAGGCATACCACACACAAACTTGCTCTGGCAGATTTAAGGCTGTGGCACCTGTGCAAAACTTAAATAAGGATTTGTCCAGCTGTTACAACCTCATGGTTATGGTCATGGGCTACTGAGAAGAAAGACAAAGTGAATACAGAAATATTGTGCCACTCCTGAGGTCTTCTTTCAGAACATGGTTTTCAAGGGCACTTGTTGAATTCCTAGACAACGACAAAACAAACATTGCTCAAGTAGACTCCAGATAAGTGATGGAGATCAGCTTCTACATAATCACCTTGTCATCAACCCCTGTCCTAATAGAAAGGCTGGAGAAACAAAGTTGGTTTCCGCAGGTGAACTGTTGGAGACCTGGCTTCGGTACAGGGAAACCACAAATAAGCCTCTGCTCTTTAGAAGGGTTTTACGCAAAGCTTCTGCTCTCAGGGCCACGTTGAGCTGAAATCTTACCTGCAAAAACACCTCTCTGAAGAGAGAAAATGCCACAGAGAAAGGCAGCATTGGAAAGGAACTGCTGCATAGAAATAGAGCACGCTTGAGCAAACTATCCAAGCTTTACTTATTGTTTTCAAACAACTGGCTGACAAGACAGGAATGTCTTATGGCTTCATGCATACAGCAAGTGGTAATTATTTCTCTGAGACAAGGGAAGAGAAAAGAGGAGACTGCAACAAGGCTCCTGCCTGATTGTACAGAAACCCTACCTTCTATCTGTAAATAAGTGGGATCATATTTTAACAATACAATAGAGTTCCACTATATCTGCAGCTTACTTTCATGGGTCTCTTTTCCCTGCTCAAGATGTCACTTTGTAGCCTGACAGCCTGTAAGACACCCATAAACCACCCAACATCTATGGCTTCTGTCTTTCCACCATTTCTCTGGCAGCACCAGCTCACTGTTTGCAGTGAGAAAAGAAGACTTTCCAGTCCTCCAGGTGTCCACACCCTCGCTACGCCAAGCTCAACAGATACAGGTCATGAAAAACCAGTTCACAAACCTTTCTGCAGAGCAGAAGATTCTGCTACTGGAAAATATATTTGTAAAACGCTTAAAGAACACGCCGCCAGCCAGAGGTCAAAAGAAACGCTGTACAGAAACAGGGTATTTACAAAGAAGTCAGCACGCTGAGCCAAGCCCTGGAGATGAGGCATGTGCAATGTTTCAGCTGAGTCTGAGCAGAGCTGGGAGCGCCGTGACAATATCCTGTTCCCACTCACAGCAAAACGAGAACTGCCTTCTTCGGGGAAGTTCCTGAAATACACACGGGAACGCCTCCGAGATAAAGAGACGGTAAAACACAGGCTTTCCGTTTTCGCTCCCCTCTTATCGCCCTTGTTTAAACAAGCCCTGGGATGCTGGCCGTGCTCTCCAAGACACCGCGAGCCGACAGCACGTAGGGATCCACCGGGCGCTATGCTACCGGGATCACCGGCATGCCTACAAGGAGGACACTACCCTAAAACTCCCAGACCTTTTGGCACCACAACGGTCAGCTGCGGGCCCGGCCTCCCCTCTCCTCGGGGAAGCGCTTCTCTCGCCCCAGCCCGGGGCCGAGCTCCGTGGGCGGCCGGCAGGCGGCACCCCGACACCGCCCGGCTGCGCCCTGCCCGGGGGCCGGGCTGGTGTTAAAGGCTGCCAGCTCCGGGGGCTCAGCTCCCGACGGAGAGTTAAAGGCTGCAGAAGGGTTATCAGGAAGAAAAGTCTCATCCTGATTTTTTTTTTTTCCCCTTAATCAAACACAAAAGAAAATCCTTTTTTTTTTTTTTGTATATATTAAACACTAACAAACAATATTTCTTCATTAACCTAACACATTTCTCTAAAGCAATTCTCTTCCCACAATGTCATCAGGTATGCTTTTTACCCTGCACTATCGGTTATTTACTCAGCACTTTGAGGAAACCAACAGCATCCAACCTCTACGCACACAACTGGCAGTACACAGCTAGCAGAAGCCTAAATCCAAGCGTTCCCTATTGCAAGCAGCAGGCTGCTCTGCCAGCTGAAAGAAGCAGGTAGGAATTAGCATAAATGATCCCACCTTTAAATAAGCATCTTCATTGTCTACATATCGCAATGGTGAGAGGAAAGAGAAGAGCTAAGAGTCCTTATTCCCCTTTTAAAAAGTTGTACAGATAGGGCTGTACATGTCTGCAGCTTACAGCTCTAAAAGACTTCAGCCACACAACACAAGCTTATTTTAAAACAATCTAAGGAGGCACAGAAGAATACAGAATTTGCAGAGAATACAAAATTTACATGAACATTTCAGAAACACAGGCACGCACCAGCACAGTCTTCAGGCACACACATCTCTCACTTGTCCAGCGTCCCACCAACACTCCCTGCCTCCACACAGGCCGGGTGGCCATACCCAGCTAACTGGCAGCCTGCTGTGCTTGAGTCACAGTATTTGTATGAAGCCCACAGGATAATTCCTACCCAAGTTATAACTGATTTTCTATTTTAATAAAAAAAATGATGTCACATCTACCTTTAGCAGGCTTGCAGTGGTCCTTCATTGGTCAGATCTGTGCAGCTGGAAGGAGGATTAGAGGATCACATAAACTAATTCAGCTAAACAACCTGAGGACAGCCAGCAACAGCTATCTAATATACAAGGCAGTTGCAACACTGCGAGCCAATTAAAAGAGATGGTGACCAAACACAAAGCTATGCTTCACACTTTTGGTTCACAAGGAACAACACTCCAGCATTTCAGAACTAGATTTTGGGTGGAACGGGAGAGATTTCTCCCCGCACACCTTATAAGCAACAGTGCTGCTTTCATTTTGACCAAGCACTAGCTGTGGTGCTGATACATGGTGAAAAGCTGCCGCTCGAGGGTAATGACAGCATCCAAGCTTGCACCTGCACTGAGTTTCAGCTATAATGACCAAAACTACCATAGAGCAGATGGGACGCTTGGCCCTCTCGATGACAGCTTATTACATCAGTGCCTCAGCTGGGAACACACTGTTCCCTCCCCTGGGCAATTCCTATATTCCTGAAGTTTCCTGAAGTACGGATCAGGCCCAGCAGGTTTTCCTCTCAGTGGCAGAGATGCCTTTAACAAGCTGCGTAGCTATGTTGTCACCTTTGTAAGGCAAGAACTAACCCGACCTTTCTGTGAAAGGAGCCAAAAAGGCAGCTCTCTTCCTCCTGGGCTGTTTGTGAGTTCCTGGATGATGACAAAGATGATGCCTTCAGAACCATCATCCTGCCTTCGGAACCATGCATCATTTAACTCATGATTCCTCATGAGTTAAGGAACTTCTCACACAGCCTCCCACAGAGAACAGGATGAGTTCCCCACCATAGAAAGCTTGGCAAGCACAGTGAGCAAATGGGGAAGAGAGCTGTAATATCATCATAGCAAAACGACATACAT